GGGGGAGGGGGGGGGTCTGGCTCCCCTGGGGGAGACTCCATCTGCTTGAAGCAAGCGCGAAATGGAGGGGGGGGGAGGGCGGGGTGCGAGGGCCCGCGCCGCTCGGCAAAACGATGGATCAAACATGATCGACCCACGAACCCGGCAAGGAATATAGAACTCTAACACATGGCAGCGTTTTCAAAGACACCTGATTGGGTGACGGGCAAATGCATTGCTGAGTGTATCGATCTTGATGTACCCTGCCGAGGGCTGTGCTGTGCTGCACCGTGCTCAATTGCGATGTGCCATGGCGCGATTGTGCTCTATAAGCGTCGTGGATCGAGTCCTCCCTTGGACTATGTTTTGATTATGTTTGGTGTTTTTCGTCGGACATCCCCCTGTCGGGGGACAGGCCCGACTTCACCCTTCGGGAGCGGCAAAGAGGGGGGCGTCCAAGAGGGGGGGGTGCAAATCATGACCGGCGGCATGCGCGCGGCCCAGCGGGGGGGCCAGGGACGTGATGAACTAAGAAGAGGCGCCATGAACTCTGGGGAAATATCATGGCCCCCGCCATGATATCCACCCCCCCCTAGTCATCACCCCCCTCTTTTCCGCCCCCGACAGATGGCCCGGTGTGGCTTCGGCACAGCCGCGGATGGCCCGCACAGCCGGGCACGGCTCCAGAACTGCAGACGCCGGCCAGGCACGGCCCGGGACAGCCTCCAGCCCACGGAGGGGAGGAGGAGGAGGAGGAGGAGGAGGAGGAGGAGGAGGAGGAGGAGGAGGAGAAGGAGGAGGAGGAGGAGGAGGAGGAGGAGGAACCCTGGCCCCGCCCGCCTCGGAGTTCGTGTCCGAGATCATGTCGCTCGGGAGGTTCTTCCCCGCGGGCGTCTGCGCGCCGGAGCTCGGCGGGGACTCCGCGCGCCGGGGCTCGGCCTCGCCGCGCGCCAGGGGGGCTTCGAGGGGGGGGGGGGGCGGGGGGCGGGGCGGGCGGCGAGGATGATGGGTAACTTTTCCACCACCACTACCATATTTCCTCCTCCTCCTCCTCCTCCTCCTCCTCCTCCTCCTCTTCCTCCTCCTCCCTCTCCTCCCTATGGTGGTGGTGGTGGTGGTGGTGGTGGAACATGGGCCCATCAGAGGAGGCCCCCGGGATCGGGTCGGGCACGTCCTCCTGCAGGGGGGGGACCCTGGAGGAAAGATCGAGGACAGTCATAACATAATCCCAAAAACGTTGAAAAATAGTCGAAGAGATCGTCCCGCGGCGCACTTCGGAGCCTCTTTGAATCTTCCTCCTGTGGAGGGACATGCCCGACTCAACCCTGGGAGCGCCGGGGAGCGAGCGGACGAGCGCGCCAAGAGTGCGCCCGGAGGGCAACGCACACCTCGGGATGAGCACGCCATCGCTCGCGAGCTGCTCCAAGCTGTTCCTCGAGGGCCCTCGCCGAGAAGAAAAGGCACGCGTCCGAGCGATGCCGAAGAAAGGGGGGAACCTGAGAGGTGCAGCGGCGGCAGGGAAAATCGGCCCGGCAGCCGCATTTCAGAGACCCCTGCCCTTTTGGTTCAAAGGGGGGGGTGAGGAGGTCCAAGATTCCCAGAGAGCCGCCGCATTGAACAAACAGGACGGCGCTTTATCGCCGCTGTTGGCCTCTGGAGGCCCTGGCCAAGCCCAGGGGCCGACTAGAACCGACTCGGGATGATAAGCCGGTCCCCGGGACGGGGTCGAGACTTCTGGGGGCCCTGCGCCGAACAGAATCTGGACATCAGATCTCTGGTTCGAAGTTTTCGGGCGCAGCCGTCATTATTCGGCGGCGTTCGAAACTCGGGGTGCCTTCCAGCAGCTGCGGCTCGCCGAAAGCGTTCTGATGTTTCGGGCGCTGTCGTCGGCTCTTGGCGACTTTCCAGCCGCGGGGTGCCCTCCAGCAGCTGCGGCTGGCCGGGAGCGCTTCAGGCGTGAGGGGCAACGTTGGGGGAGGCAACGTTAGGGGGGGCATGCTTGGTTCGGGAGGAGAGATTCGGTTCGGTTCGGGCGGCTGTGGAGACCTGGTCAAGCCTGGGCACGAGAGCACGTCAATGCAAGGTGAAGCAGGGCTGATCCAGAGAGCAAGGAGGGGAGGGCAAGGGAGAGAGGGCGGAGGTGGAGCTGGGCTGCCGGCGCGCACAGGGGTGCAGGGGGAGGGGGGGAGGCCTCTTGAGAGGCTGCTGCTTAGAAGGTGCATGCCTTACAACTATTAGGCCCGAGCCTTCCAAGAAGCATGGGTGCTTCTAAAGAAGCCCTGCTCCCCTCCATCTCTGCGCGTGGCCGGTTGGGGCGGGATTATTAAGAGGCCGCTTCTTAGAGGGTGCAGGCCTTACGCCTACAGATAAGGCCCGCGCCTCCCAAGCAGCATGGGTGCTTCCAAGAAAGGCCTCCCCCCCTCCCCCTAACCTCCTCCACCTAACCCCCCCTCCACAATTACTCAATATGAAAATACTCTCCATCTTCCCCTGATGACGTCCGGGTGATGCTCCGCGTATTGTTTTTTTGAACACAGGATCCCCGGGAAATCCCGGGAAACGACTCTCGCTGAGGCGCCGGCGTCATTTTTTCCCAAAATGCTGCTCTCGTTGAGGCGCCGGCCTCATTTCTGCTCCCGAATCGTTCCGAATCGTGCTCCCGCTCCAGCGTGGGCCTCATTTTCGGATCGGTGTTTGGCCTCCGTCGTTCAGGATGGCGTTCTCGCCCCAGCGCGGGCCTCTTTCTCGCGCGCCCATCCGCCCGCCACCACCGCGCCGCCGCCACCACCACCACCACCACCACCACCACCACCACCACCACCACCACCACCACCACCAGCACCAGCACCAGCACCAGCACCAGCACCAGCACCAGCACCAGCACCAGCACCAGCACCAGCACCAGCACACAGCACCAGCACCAGCACCAGCACCACCACCAGCACCACGACAACCACGCACACACGCACGCACGCACGCACGTGCACCACCACCCACTACGCACGCGCGCGCGGAGCCACAGGTCCGCTACGACACGCGTCCGCGGATAGAGAAAATCAGCGCCATGGTAAGGGATGGGAGGGAGGGGTAGGACGTCAGATATGACGCGAGCGCACCTAGCTTGCCTTAACCCCCTCCCCCTAACCCCTAACCCCCTGGCCTTAACCCCCTGGCCCTGACCCCTCCCCCTCACCCGTGCAGCTCCTCCCCCTAACCCTCTAACCCCCCCCTGCCCCTGCCCCTTCCCCTCGCTCCTCCCCCCCTCCCCCCTCCCCCTAACCCCAGGGTGCTTCCAAGAAGCTCTTCCCCCCTCCACCCTATCCCCCCCCAGGCGCGTGACTGACTGGGGCGGGACGAGGCTGGCGGAAGGATGTCTTCGGATTGACTCAAAGGCAAAATGCCCCCCCCCTGAAAAACAAGGAGATTGCCAAAACCATTCCGTATCAATGACATCGATATTACTACAAGAATTCAAATACTGCTGCGAGCACGCCAAACCGCTGATATCAACGCGACCAGCCCCAGGAGCATAGAAGGGGCAGGGGGTGACCCAAAATAGGGGGTGAACAAACAGGCCCTAAGGGGGCTCTTTTCTTGACCCCCATTGGGGTTACCCCCAGTACCCCCCGCCCGACTGGACCCCCCTGCGGCGCCTCTGGTGCCGCCCCTGGCGCGCTCTGCGCGCCGAGGACTGGTGTCCAGCACCGTTCCAAGATATCCACGGGGACCTCCGAAAAATTGTGTGCATGTATTCTTCTGTTCGTCGAAGAGTGGCAAGATGAAGGGTGCGCCGAGAAGGGCGCGGGGACGGCTCCTTCGCTGGAGCTGAAGTTGGTGCACCTGGAGTGGCACGTGAGGGGTGCGCCGAACGATTCCCCCGTGGGCGCATGCGGGCGCCTTCGCTGGAATTGCAGGTGTGATCTCAATTATCCCGCGACTTGCATGATCATGCTGATGCCTCCAACGCCTTCGGAGGCATGGGGGCAGGAGCAATCACCATCGAATCGCTAGTTCGGATCCGATTGTGCATCGGATCGGGCCGCACTGGTAGAATTACGGAGCTGGGATGGAATCGGATCGGCCGTGCCAGAATGCACAGCGGCGCCGTACAAGCATCGTGCCGTATCGCATCGTCGGACTGTCGGAATCTGATCGGTTCAGGCCGGGCGAAAACTCGGTGTCTTGTGAACCAGGTCGGTCGGGATGGAAATGGACGCTGGGAGGATGATGGATGGAGGCGCGGAAGGCGGAGATCGTACGGGGGGCGGGGACGAGCTGAGACTGGGGGGGAGGGAAGGGGGCGAAAGGGGAGCGTTCCAGCACGGCGGGGTGGGGGGGGAGCGAGCGGACGACCACGTTGACGTCGAGGACCGCGGCTCGGTCGACGATGACGCCGACGCCGTCGACCCCGAAGCGAGCGTTGGTTGAGGGAACAGGGGGTCTTCTGTAATTGGGTCGCAAAGAAATGCAATAGTTCATCCTGTGGCTCGTTGCGCGTGGTCTCTCTCACGGGCCAACGATGCCAACTGCAGCGCACTCTGCCCGCAGCCAGCACGATCCAGCACGAGCGATTGCACTAACTATCTACGTACGGCAGGTTCGTGTCGTGCCGACCCCAGCGTTGGTCTTTGACACCGCAGGGATCGTTCAACCTTGAACGATCGGCCGCTGCCGCAACGTCCGATCGTTCAACATCGATCGATTCTGGGTCGCCGGCGGCGTTCAACCTTGAACGCCCGCGCTGGGGTCGCCGCCGGTCGACACGACGCAAACCTACCGTAACTATCTACACCCTGCGAAATGCTTAAGAAATCATGGGTTAAGAAATTCATAGTCTCAGAAATTGAATAAAACCCAGAACTTCTATCAAAATCTTGGGCTTTACATTGGAAAGTTAAGAATAATCGAGACTCTGGACGAAAACTTAGGTTTTCTTAAGCATCGCCTAAGGTGTACGTACAGTCGTCAGCCCCCAATGGCCAAAATCTCAAGGGGGGGCGCCTTGATCTTCGCGAAGGAGATCACCTGCCGCCGGTCGGCGCGCGGTCCGCTCCAGTCGTGCGGGTGCCCACTCGCCGTCGCCGCCGCCGCCGCCCTGCTCCTCCTCCTCCTTCTCCTGCTCCTCCTCCTCCTCCTCCTCCTCCTTCTCCTCCTCCTCCTCCTCCTGTCCGGAGGCGGCTGCCGGGAGGTCTTCGGGAACGGCGAATGGCTCTTCAACCCGATGGGGGGGCCACTGAACCAAATCTAGAGTGAGAAGAGGACTGCATAAACCTCAACCTTTGGCGCTCCGCGCGGATTTCTTGGATCTGCGCTGGACCCCCCTCCCTGGCGCGCGGAGCGCGCCAGGGGTGGCGCTGGAGGCGCCGCCAGGGGGGCCCAGCGCGGATCCAAGAACTCCGCGTGGAGCTCCGAAAGTTTATGTTTGTAACGTCGTCTCTTCTTCAAAGAACGGCAAAGGACACTTAAAACCGATGGAAGGGCCATTAAGCCAGATCAGCGCAGAATAGGCTTAGGTCGGGCATGTCTCCCTACAGGCGCATTTTGGACGAAAAACAAAAATAGTTAAACAATACTCTCAGATTGATAAAAATAGTCAAAACATCGTTCCCTGAGTATTTGTTGACCAATTTAAAATATTCCTCCTGTAGATAGGGACGTCCCCGACTTAAGAATAGGCCTTGGATGCGCCCGGGTGAAGCGGGCTTGGGCGGCAGCAAGCTGGACTCGGCCCAGCTCGACCACGCGCATACAGTCACAGGCGCCGATGCCGAGTGTGCTCTCCCAGGGGATTGGCATCCTCACGCACTGCTGTTCGAGGCGGGCGAGAAGGGACAGCTCATGGGGTGGAGACATCTAGCTTTAGAGCGGTCATGTGCCTCTACAGGCTGATTTTGGAAGAGAACAATTAGAAGTACGTTCAACTATGCTCAAGCATATTCCAGACATTGCAGAAAAATTGTTCCCAGACTATTTTTCCCCAATCAGAGCTTGCCTCTGTAGGGGTCCTAGCGGATTCATATGGTTAGGTTAGCTGCGGCGCCGATTTCGGCGGCACGCCCGGGTACCCGGGTGCCCGGGCGCCCAAGTGGTGCCCGGGTGCCCAGGTGGTGCCCGGGTGCCCAGGTGGTGCAGATGGTGCCCGGGTGCCCTGGTGCGTATAGCCGGATAGCCCTGTAGGCCTATAGCCCGATTGCTCTCTCTCTCTCTCTCTCTCTCTCTCTCTCTCTCTCTCTCCTTTTTTTTTTATATGTATATATATATATATGCCTATCGCCCCATAGCCCTATCGCCCTAAAGCCCTAAAGTCCTATAGCCCCATAGCCCCATAGCCCTATGGACCTATAGCCCTATGGCCCTATAGCCCTGTAGCCCTGTAGCCCTGTAGCCCCAGAGCCCCATAGCCTTATAGCCCTACAGCCCTATGGACCTATGGCCCGATGGCCCTATGGCCCTATGGCCCTAAGGCCCTATAGCCCTATAGACCTACAGCCCTATAGCCTCATAGCACTATAGCCTAATAGCACGCACTCTAGCCTTCAAAATATTATGACTGGGGTTGTTCTTTCCCTGTATCATGTGACTATTTCTGCATTTTTTTCTCCTGCGGAAGGACACGCCCGACTGAAACCTGGCCCGAATCGGCGATGCACCGCCGACAGGTGGGCCGGTGGGCCCCCAAAGGCGACTCCGCACGCCCCTGGGCGCGGGGGGCCACCGGGCCCCGGATTAGTGGCTACGAAAGGAGAGTGCGGAGTCGACGCGCCATCCCCTGATCGGGCCGTGCGCAAGGGGGGGATTATAGCAAAGGGGGCGTTTAAGAATCAGCTCACGTAGCTGCTTTGCCCAGCGCCTCCCGGCGCCGGAGGCGGCCGTGCGTCGAGGAATGGGCCTGGCGGCGGGGAAGAGACCGGCTGCATGCGGCAGATTTCGTACCCCCCCCCCTGTCCCTGTCCCCCCCTTTCGTTCGGCCGCTGAAGGCACCCCGGGGGTGAGCAGCCGACTAGGACCCGCAGGCGGCCTCGAGAAGACAGGACGCCTGAGAGGGCACAAGGACTCTTCCGACGGCAGCGCGGGCCCGAGAGCACCAAAAAAGGACATGTGGGCTGCATCGGTCGGGGTAGACGAGACATGAGGGCACCCTCGACTTGGCACGGCCGACCCACCAGTCGGGGCCGACCGTGCGAAGACGACTGCACACCCCTGCTGTTGCCCCTGATGCTCTCCGGGGCGGGCGAAACCCAAGGGGGGGTGACTGCAGAAGGGGGGAGGGCGAGCCACGGGCTTCCCCAAGGCTTCCCAGGGCAGGGCCCCCCCCCAATCCGTCGAGGAGAGGTGCCCCGCGGCAGGGCGGAAGCCGGCTGCGTGCAGCAGAGCCGTGTGGCCCCCCCCCCCCTTCGTCACTGAGGGGCAACGATAGGGGGTGGACTGGCATAGGGGGGGGACGCATCGACCTGGAATCGGCGATACATCGCCGATAGATCGGCGATAGGCCCCCGATAGTGAATCCGCACCTTCCTGGGCAGGCTGGGGCTATCGGGCCCCCATCGGCGATCAATGGCTGATTGGGGGTCCATGCGCCCCCCCCTATGCCTATCCCCCCCTTTCGTTGCCCCTCAGTCACCCTCTCCCCTCTTCGTCCGGTTCTCCCTCGCCACTCTCCCGCACGAATAACCCCCTCCCTGTCTCACTGTCGCACGTGCCGGTAGGGCGGGCCGGGCGTTCCGTCGGGGGGGTCCTGCGCCACGTGCGCTCTTGAGGCCAAGCAAATACAACAGCTGGTTACGCGGATGGGGGGCGAATCCCACCAGCCCTCTGGGCGCAGGTGGACTAGGGATCTTTCTCTATCCACTTCTGAAACCCCTCTTCCCGTCGGGTACCCGTACCCTCCCCCTCCCCTCCCTGACGGCTCTGCCATGTGTCAGAGTGTCGGTTCTTTTTCCCCCAACGTGGCTCCACGAGGGCCTCCGATGCTGCAATGTGGCCTCCAACATGGCTCGACGTAGCCGAAGATGGCCCCAACTGGCTTGAGTCATGCTCCAAGAGGCCCCAAAGACCGCTCCAAAACGGCAGCGAATGCTCTTGAACCCCCCACCAGGACCTCCCCAAGATGGCAAAATCGGTCACCAACCTAAAGAACATCAATGAATTTCACCGTCTCGCCTTTTCGCATCCGTCTGTCTTTGAACTGCAGAAATGGCCCCAAAATGGCGCAAGAGAGGCCCAAGAGGGGCCCAAAAGGTCCCCCAAATTCTCTCAGGAACGCCCAAGAGGCCCAAAGCATGGCACAAATAAACGATGTTCATAGCCCGAGACGGGGAAGGAACTTAAAAGGCTCCCCCATCTGTTAATCGATGGCCTCCAAGATGACCTGACGAGGCTCCCCAAGGCGCCCATGAGGGCCACAAGACCCCCACCAAGAGCCCGATGAGAACCCCAAGACCCTCTACAGAGGGCCCCGAGACAGCCAAACGAGGACGCCAACAAAGGCTTCAAGAAGACTCCAGGAAGGCTGCCGGCATCCTTGTCCTCGTTCTCGTCATCCACTTCGTCCTCCTTGCGCCCCTCCCCCTCGTTGCCGAATTTTTGCAGAGCAAAAACAAACTAATTAGCAGGAGGGGAGCCGCATCTTCGCGAACCTGACCCACCATTCCGCCTCCCCCGTAACCACGGACCAAGGATCGGGATCTTACCCGCCTCCAAGTCCTCTTCTGGGGTTTGCATATCTTGTTGCAGTGCGCCAGGAGCCTACGCGGGTGCCCACTGCACTAAGACCCGCACATCTTACAAACAACGAAACTCGAACCAGACTCGAGACATCTGGCCACCCAAAGTCTACGAGGCGTCCCCTGGCCCGCACATGGAGCCGCGAGGGTCACAAAACTCGGGGTAAGCTGCGCACATAACATAGGCACAGTTGGGTGGATGTGCGAACGTCCTCCCACCCCACAGACACAGCCATCCAGCGCCGTTCCAGCGGCTGTGGTGAGCCTGGCCAAGACACAAAGGCCTGGGGCCCGGCGTGGCCCGAAGAAACCAAGCCAAGTCACCCGACACCTCCTCGGATCCCGGCCGGACCTCGGGCATGCCTGCCATTCGTTTGTCCGCTGCAAGCCAACGAGCAACTTTAATCGAATAGTCGACTTCAAAATTCTGGGCATCAGGATGGATCAAGGCTCCCTACTTGGCAGATTCATCTGCCAATTCGTCCCCGCGGAAATTCCGTGGCCAGCCCGTCTGCGTCATCCGCACGTTTTGAATGGACCTTCACTTTGGAGAGAGACAACAAAGGGAACGACCCGTCGAAACTATTGCGCCAAACACATGATGAACTGGTCGAGCAGTCAATAGACTTGCGCGGTAGACCAATCCCTTTCATGAGAGCTGCGCGATCAATATTCGCAGCCAGAAAAGAAGGCCCTCGCCCTCCATGCGCGAGCCCGCGGAAGAGGGCAATGCGTTCGCCAAGTGCTGCCGTCTGCTGCGGGAAGCCTGAGACTCGACGGAACACCGCCTTCCTGAAAGTACCCAGCTCGTCCGTCGCAGCAACGGGCCAGCCTGCCCTGGATCCCCCGAGCCTGACAACTTCGGGCCGTAGCGGCTAACGTCCAGGAGCATATGTCTACCACCTCCAACGTGGAGATGTCCCGCGGCCCCGTCAACGCCCAAGAACTCTACGTGCTCCTCCGTGTAGGGTCGGGCCCTCTGTTCGGGAACTGGGACACAACGGTGCCTGAACAACGGGTCGCCAAAGCCAGCTTCCAGGGCTTCCCGAAGTGTTTCCTCATCAACAGCCCCACTCCTTCCCCAAGCTCGATGCCCGACCGAATCCGCTCTCGTGCCGCGAGCAATGCAACGCGATGAAGCCTGGGCGCCCCACTGGTGGAGCTTGGCAGCGGCGACGTCGCTGCCGCGCAACAAAGAGACGTCGCACGAGAAGCCTTTCTCTGGCTGGCCTCCTGAAGCCCCCCAAACAAATCTCTGAGCGATGGGTCCAGAACCCCCTGCCACGAGTCCCATTGGCGGCAACCGCGGCCTCCGAGCCCCCAGAAGTGGTCGGGGGGTTCTCGTGAGCGTCGCAGGCCAGGAGGATAGAGCGGTCCGCAATGAGATAAACCCTGGCAGTCGTAGGTGGCCCTTTGCCAAGGAGGAGCTCGGCCCCGATCGACCCACGTCTTCTGACAGCTTTTTTGTTGCGACGCGCGCGCGCCGAGCGGTCGCGGCGCCGCGCGGCGGCGCCATACGCCTCGCAAGGCGGTGCCTGGCTCAAGCGAATGTCAGAGCGTGAATTACCTACCCCGCTTTCGCTTCCAGGCAAAACCAAGTCATACCACGCGCCTCCTCGTCAAGCGGCCTGACCACTACAGGCCGTAGTTTGGCACCGCTTGGTATCTCTTGGAAGCGAGGGTGGTCAAAAGCGAGGTAGGTCTGTTTGCCCCCTAGAATGCACCTGATTGGGGGGGGGAGGGGGCCCCGCCATGCACGACCGGTGCCAGGGGGGAACAGGGCTGCGCGCGCGACGGGCAGCTGCCTCCTCCGCAGGCGTCATTGCCAGCGCACCGCATGACGGGGCGGTGCCACCCGGGGCCGGGGCCCAGGCAACACTTTGGACGCCCGAAATGGGCACGGAAACAATGGGCACAATGCCCAACAACAAATGTTGTCCCAAACCAACAGCGGCCGCTGTTGGGCAGGCGGCCTTCTGTCTCGAATGGACACAAGCCGCGGCGGCCTGGACAGCGAACCCTGTTCAGAATGAACAAGAACTGCTGTTGGTCATCGTACCCATTCTTTCCGTACCCATTTCGAGCGTCCAGAAACACGGCTCGCCCCCGTAGCGGCAATCCGAAAAGTTGCCGGCCTAACGGCACGTATCGTGGCAGCATGTGCGAACCTCCCAGGAATCTTCTGGCTCCAGCTGGAGTTTCTCGGGGTTGGGGGGGAGGGTGGGGGGGGCTCGAACAGGTCCCTGGTCTTGCCGAAAGCCCGGTTCGAGTCCACAGGCGGGGGCCCATTGTGGGCTTTCAACGGGATGCTTGGACGCCCGAGATGGGTGCGGATGAAATGGGTACAATGCCCAACAAGTCCTGTTCTCAAAGCTGGCAGCGGCCGCTGTTGGCTAGGCGCACGTCCGCGGCGACACCGACAGCGAGCCCCGTTCAAAATGAGCAGGACATGCTGTCGGTGCTTGTGCTCATGCTTCCCGTGCCTGACTACCTACCAGACCACCCCAACCCAACCCGAAGACCCGAATTTCGGGTTGGGAGTGGGTAAGGGTTCCACATGTGTTTTTTCGATGTTTCCCGACCCCCCCCCCACTGGAAATCGAGGGTAAATCTGAGCCTTCGGGTTGGGTTGGGGTGGTTTGGTGGGTGGTGACTGTCGGTGTTTGTGCTCATGCTCCCCGTGCCCGTCTCCATCGCCCCCGAGAGGTGGGGCGACGCACGCCCACGGCCACGATCCCCGCACCGACGGCACAGCGAGAGGCCGACGGTGGGCGCGAGCGGAGGCGTGGCGCGCAGGGCGCCGCGGCGCGCCGCGAGGCAGGATACACCCTGCGAGATGCTTAAGAAATCATGGGTTAAGAAATTCATAGTCTCAGAGTTTGAATAAAAACCCTCAATTTAGAAAACCATTACAATCTTAAGATTTACATTGAAACGTTAAGAATAATCGAGACTCTGGCCGAAAACTTAAGTTTTCTCAAACATCGCCTACGGTGTAGCCCAGACGCGATCCGACAAGCCGAATGGGCGATCGAAACGGCCCGGACCGGCGGAGGTCGGCGGCCAAACTGGGATGCGCCGACTCGGCAGAGACCGGCAGGCCAGCGAGGCTCCCGTGGATTGGCGGGATGCAAATGTCAGGGGGACGTAAGACCTGGGTACAGGGGACTCGGAAATCCCCGACGAGGTCGTCGAAAAATGACGAGGCCGAGCCTGCATTTTGACGAGGCCTCCCGCTGCAGACATCCCACGAAACTCCTCCTCGTCAAAATCCGAGTCGCGGTCGTCAAAAAACGATGGCGAACCCGAGTCCTGGCAAACCCGGGTCTTACGCTCCCCCGAAAATGGGGGGATAACTCCAGGGGGGGAGAGAGGCGCAACCGAGGTACAAATTGTACCTACGCCCCACGAAGAAGGCACGAATGGTACCGACGCCACGCAACACAAGGTACAACTTGTAGTTTTGACAACGTCCGCGACATGCGCGAGGATGCTAACGGGGGGAGAAGGTACAATTTGTACTTGCAACCCGCAGAGAGGGTACCAAGTGGACCCCAACAAAACGGTACCGGATACTCATCCCCCCATGTCCTGATCCCCCCATCGCCGTTGAGAGAAACCGAAGGCCAGATCGGAACCTGACGTCGAAGCGAATTCTTGACGCTTCGCGTATCCCCACCAGCCCATCCTACACCAGGCGCTCGAACGAAGAGCGCCGATGTTCGGCAGCTGTTCTCCTCCCCTCTTCCTCCTTCTCCTCCGCCTTCTCCTCCTCCTCCTCTCCTCCTCCTCCCTCTCCTCCTCCTCCTCCTCCTCCTCCGCCTCTTCCTCCTCCCTGGTGGCGTATTGGAAGTGTCTTCGAACGTTTTGGTGGGCTCTTGGGCCTTGCGGGCGGGCGGGCGGCGCTCCGCCCGCCCGCGCGCAGAGCCCAAGAGGGGGTCCAAGACGTTTTTTGGAACAATCTTGGAGGAGATCGATCAACGAAGGGGGGGTCCCTAATTACAGCCCCCCCCTTCAGGAGCCACGATCCTCGTGAGGGGTGTCGAATTTTAGCCTTCCCAGGAGTCGATATTGGACGCTCTAACTACCCGCGGCCCCCCCTGTCCAGGTCAGTGGGGAGGGGGTAGGGGGAGGGGTAAACCCCTCCCCGAAGGGGAAGAAGGAGGGGTGGAAGAAGAAACGCTCTAAACCACCGACGCCCAGAGGGCTGGTGAGATTATAACAGATATTGTAAGGATTAGGAAGAAGAGGAGGAAGAAGCGGGAGGGGAGGACGCAGGAGGAGGAGGAATGGGTGGACGCGGGGGGAGGAGGATCCTGGAGAGCTCATATGGCAATTTGGAATCGTCTTGGGACGGTGTTGGAGCGTCTTGGAACATCTTCGGTGCCATCTTGAGGCAGGTTGCGCTATCTGTAGGCAGCCGCTTAGAATCGTCTTGGAGCAGTCTTGGAGCGTCTTGGAACATCTTCGGAACCATCTTGAGGCAAGTTGCGCAATGTTCAGCCATATTGGAGGCTATCTTGGGCTCCCCGAAGCTCTGTCGGAACCGTCTTGGCCCATCTTTCACTATCTTGTGAGCCTCCTGGAGGCCTCCTGGGCGTCTCTTGGGGCGTTCTTGAAGCGCTGTTGGAGGCCTCAGAGGCGCTGATCGAGCCCATATTGGAGGGGATCTGCCAAAGAAAGCGGAAGCACTAATTAGCGTCGCTCCTGGAAAGCCTCTAAAATCGCCTCCTGAACCGCTCTTGGAGGGCTCTTGGAGCGCTCTTGGGCGCTATTTGGGCCGTCTTCGGGCTTTCTTGGGCCCTTCTTGGAGCTATCTTGAGCCATCTTGGAGCTATCTTGACGCCTCGGGTGGGCATCGGAAGCGAAAGCGCGAGAACGCCAAAAGCATTGATTTTCCCTAGGGTTTTGAAACACTTTGGCTTCTTGGGGGCATCCGAGGGGAGCTCTAGTGGACACTTAGAGCCGTCTTGGGGCGGTCTTGGAGAGTCTTGGAGCATCTTCGGAACCATCTTGAGGCATCTTGCGCTATCTTGAACCATTTTGGAGGCGATCTTGGGCTCCCTGAGGCCCTCTTGGAGTCGTCTTGGCTCATCTTGGACGCTCCAACGCGTCGCGGCCCCCCCTGTCCAGGTCAGCGGGGAGGGGGTGGGGGGAGGGGTAAACCCCTCCCCGAAGGGGAAGAAGGAGGGGTGGAAGAAGAAACGCTCTAAACCACCGACGCCCAGGGGCTGGTGGGACTGGAATCGATCGGATGAGGCGCGATGGGGGGCGAGAAGTGGGGGGGGGCGGTGAAGGCTGCAGAACACGGGCCCTTCAGGGCCACAAAAGGGGAGGCCTTCCAGGTCCGAAAAGGGCAGGCACCTTTCTGTCCCCCCCCCCCACACCCATTGATCGCCCCCCCCCGTTACTTCACGCCTAATCGACATCGAATCGAATCGAACCGGAGGAGTCGAGAATAAGCCCTGCAACCGGGGGCGAGCCGAGGCAGCGACGAGAATAGAACACTCACAAACGACATAAACATAAACTTTGGGCGCTCCACGCGGGTTCCTTGCATCCGCGCCTCGAGAGGTTGCGACGAGAGGCTTCGCCGCGCGGCGCGAGGTGCGACGGCCTCCGGCAGATTGTTGGCCTCCGGCAGCGGCTCGGTCTCCACCTGCCAGCGCGCGGGCATCTGCCACCCGCAGGTCAGCAAGCTGAGCGGCGGGTCCCCTCCGCCTCCTCCGGCTGCTCCTCCTCCTGCTCTCCCTCCTCGTTCTCGTCCTGCTTCTCTCTTCTCCTCCTCCGTCCTCCTCCTCCTCGTCCTTGTCCTCCTCCTGCTCCTCCTGCTCCTGCTTCTCTCTCTTCCTCCTCGTTCTCGTCCTGCTTCTCTCTTCTCCTCCTCCGTTCTCCTCCTCCTCCTCCTCCTCCTGCTCCTCCTCCTCCTGCTCCTCCTCCTCCTCCTCGGGCACCTCCTCCTCCTCCTCGGGCACCTTCTCCCTGTGACCCTGCCGAAGCTGGGCTTCGCTCCGGCCAGGGACGGCGGGCCGCTGCTCTCCGCCCGTCGAGCGGAGCGCTCCGGGGGGGGGGGCCGGGGAGCACCGCGCGTCGGCCGTGGGAGGTAAGCGCAGCCCTGCGGGGAATAAAGCATCCCCCCCTTTAGGAAAAGGCGTAGGAGGAGGAGCAGGATGATGATGATGATGATGATGATGATGATGATGATGATGATGATGATGATGATGATGATGATGATGATGATGGTGATGATGATGATGCTGATGCTGATGCTGATGCTGATGCTGAAGATGATGCTGATGATGATGATGATGATGATGATAATGATGATGATGCTGATGCTGATGCTGACGCTGAGGATGATGATGGTGATGATGATGGTGAGGAGGATGATGATAATGATGATGATGACGATGATGATGATGATGATGGTGATGATGATGGTGGTGATGATGATGGTGATGACGAGGAGGAGGAGGAAGAGGAGAGTGAGGAGGAGAATGAGGAGGCCTCCTCCTCCTCCTCCTCCGAAGGAGGATGAGCCTTCGCTTGTGCCAGCTTCAAGCCACACCCAGCAACTGCACTGTTCCTCCACCGTGCGATGTCTACCCCACTCCGCCTTTGACTCCTGCACGTGTACCTTTTGCGTCTGACGTCGCCTGTTCTGTTGGCTTTTGCGAGATTTGCCTTGCCATCCCGGCTCTAGAGAGTGTGAGGGGCTGTGGGCTGAGAGGTGGGCGTGGGGGAGGATTGCTCGGAGACCATTGGGTCTGGATGACCTCCGACCCGACAGCTGCTACTAGGCCACTGCAGTCCGCAGTCAAGATTTAGCCTGCAGCTAATACTCGCAACGCTAGATCCTCGCAGGCTTGAACTCGTACATCGCCTCTTCTTCATGCGGTGTCCCCCCTTAGTCTACTAAGGTTAATATCCTTCAATCGGTGGTTCGTATCGTTTCGGCCCCCTCCTCCCCCAGAGCCTGGCTGGCGCATACTCTTAGCCCTCGAGGTACCACCGTCGTTTACCTGACCATTTGCGCCTGTCCTTTTTTTCAGCTGCGCCAGCCAGGCCTAACTTGCTGTCGCGGGCCTGCGTCGGCCTTCTTTCTGTTCTGCACACGCACGCTTCAGGCTCAGCCCCTCAGCTCGCGCACCGTCACACAAGGAGGAGGGGGAGGAGGTAAGGATGAAGGCAGAGGCAAAGGCAACAGCAAAAGGTACAGGTAAAGGCGATTGGGGAGATGATCCGCGGCCGACGGCAGGCCGCCGTTGCCTCTGCTGGCCTCCCTGCTGTTGTATCGCGGCAGCGGGCCCCCCCGGGCTCCCGTGGACCCCTTAAGGGGCAGCCGGGGGCGCGGCCGGCCCCCGCCTCTCGGGCGGCGGCGGCCTGCCCCGCCGCAGGAGGCCCGGCCTCGAGGCGGGGGGGGAGAACAAGGACAGGCGGTCGGCGCTGCCCTCGCTCATCCGAGGAGGAGGAAGGAGGAGGAGGAGGAGGAGGAGGAGGAGGAGGAGGAGGAGGAGGAGGACCAGTGTAAACCCAAGGGTCATCAACGATGTTGGAATAACCCCCCTCCCTCCCAAGCTCCCTCTTCGTAGGCCCCTAGAACGGTTCCTTTCCACAGAAAGAGCTACCTCGTTGGAAGACAACCGTTTGAAGACCCTGAAACATGCCAAACCATTACTCTGGGGATTCCAACGGAACGCGGATCAACCTGATTGTTGCGTCTTGACGATCCGGAATCGCAGAAGAACGCCGTTCTTGGGACTTCTACGCAAAGAATCAACTGAACTGTTACGCCCTTATAATCCTGAACCCGTTCACAGCACCACTTCGGGTACGTAGATCATTGAACCAGTGAGACTCTTGCAAACATGTTTAATAATAACATGCGCGGCGCTAAGACGAGAACCACCAGTTGAAAAGAAACCGCCCTCAAGACGTGAAACTTTTGCAACTGTTTAAAACGAACATGCGAGGCGATAAGGCGAGAACCATTGCAAATGTTTAAAATCATGTGCGCGGAGCCAGGGCGAGAGCCACATGCTGAAAACGACCCGCCCTCCATCTGAGAAGCTGTTGTTAAGTCTTTAGATTCAGGGGCATAGCTGATGCGGAAGTCTCAGGCGAAACGCCCCGCCCGCCCGAAAAGCTGGCCTCGGGGTGCGAGAGGGGGGAACTATCTAGAAGGACAAGGAACGGAGGAGGAGGAGGAGGAGGAAGAGGAGGAGGAGGAGGAGGAGGAGGAAGAGGAGGAGGAGGAGGAGGACGAGGAGGAGGAGGAGGGGCCAGGCCCGTCGACGGCGCTTTGCTCGCCGGGCGGTACTTCCCCCCGCCGTCCTGCACGCCGCGCGCCGCCACGGTCGGCACGCTCCCGAGGGGGCGGGGGGGGAGCCTCCACAGGCGGGGGGGGGGGGGGCAACTCTCGGCGGGGACACAACAAAGAAGCCTCCTAGATGGGGTCCGAGACGATGGGGTCGAAGGATCGCGCCGCCGCACCGCCCACGAGTCGCCGAGGTATCGGCGATGCGTCGCCGACTTCGGCGATGCATCGGCGATACATCGGCGTGGGAAACACGGGCTCCACAACGAGACGCAGTGGCGATGCATCGGCGATGCGGCGCGATCCTCCGACCCCATCTACTCGGAACCCATCCAGGAGGCCTAGACAAAAAAAGGGTAGGATCTCGGCGGCGAGCGAGGGGAGGACCGAAGGATCGAGGGGCTCTGCTTGGCGGCGAGCGGAGGGGGCTCCGCCAGCCTCGCGACGAGGCTCAGGAGCAGGCGCACGCGAAGGACACGGAAGGGCCTGGGCTTTTTTCGGGAGCGGCCAAGAGGGGGATGTCCAAGGAGGAGGGGGGTGAAAAAATCATGACCGGCGGCACGTGCCCGGCCCAGCGGGGGGGCCAGGGACGTACTGAAGCAAGAAGAGGCGCCATGAGAGCTGGGGAAAGCTCGTGGCCCCCGCCATGATATCACCCCCCCCTGGTCGTCACCCCCCCCTTTGCCGCCCCCGATCTCTAGCGCGATTCGGCCCGAGGCGACTCGATTGGTCGCCCGGGGCCGCGACTCCGACTCGATTTAAGTCGGGCGTGTCCCCCCCGGGGGATTTTGAACGAAAAATAAAAAAAACAAAAATAACAAAAAAAGTAGTCAACAAATAGTCTGGGGAGTGCTTTTTTTGAGTATGGTTTGACCTTCTTGTGGTATTTTTTGTTTTTTTCGTCGAAAATCCCCTCGTAGGGGGACCCGCCCGACAGAAGACTCGATCCAGGTCGGTTCGCTCCGCCTGCATCGGCCAGAGGGCCCGGCCGGAGCCGGGCGCGGCGATCCGACGTGGACTCGACCTGCAGGGCGAGGCTCGCTGGCGCCCCGAGCCGCCCCCGAGCCGTTCCAGCTGCGCGACTCGATCCAGCTCACGCCGGTCTGGAGCCCTATGACTGCCTACCAGACCACCCCAACCCAACCCGAAGACCCGAATTTCGGGTTGGGGGGGGTAAGGGTTCCACATGTGTTTTTTCGATATTTCCCGACCCCCCCCCCCCCCACTGGAAATCGAGGGTAAATCTGAGCCTTCGGGTTGGGTTGGGGTGGGTTGGTGGGTGGTGACCCTAGCCTTGGGTGGGGCATGTTCCCCGACAGGCAGATTTTGGACGACAGATGAACCTAGTTTTTCTTTGTGTCCACAAACAGCGATGGTCCGAAAGATCCAGAAATCGTCCCCGGGATATTTCTCGATCGACTTAATATATACCTCGTGTAGAGGGACATGCCCGACTTAAACCCAACCCCCACCAGATCGCCACCCGACCATTCGTTCGTCTGGTCTGGTCTGGCCCATTCGTCCCTCCACGGATGGGTCTGGTCTTCTTCGTGGCGCGTATCCCGCTCCGCGGGCCTCGCGTCTGGCATGACGCGCAAAGCGTCGCCAACAGTATACGAAGCCCGGCCAAGGCATCCGAGCGACGCGCGGCTGTGTTGAGAGCGGCCGCTCCTTAGAAGGCGGTGGCCTTACATCTGCAGACAAGGCCCGCCTCGAGGAGGAGGAGGAGGAGGAGGAAGAGGAGGAGAAAGGAGGAGGAGGAGGAGGAGGAGGAGGAGGAGGAGGAGGAGGAAGACGAGGACGAGTAGGAGGAGGAGGAGGCTGCTTCTTAGGAGGCGCCGGAAGAAGTAGGGGTGCTTGGCACCCCTGCTCCTTCCCCCTCCCCCCAATGGGGGCACGACTTCTGCACGCGACCCCCCTGAACCATCTGTTCCAGCACAAGGCCGTGGAGAGGGGGTTGTTTGCAGGAGCGGCTTCCCTTGGGAGCACGAGCCTTGCCGTCGCTCGGGCGTCCATTTCCCGTGCATTCTTCGGTTCCGTGCGCGTTTTGTTTTGCTCGAGGGTCCAGGATGGTCCTCGATGGTCCTCGCCGAGAAAAAATGCACACGTCCGAGCGATGCCAGGGAGCTGTGTGCACCGCCCCGGCGAGCAAGCTGGCCTGGGACTGCGGGCGGGGGCGGGGGCCATACACCCTGCGAAATGCGTAAGAAATCATGGGTTAAGAAATTCATAGTCTCAGAACTTGAATAAAAACCCAGAATTTCTATTCAAACCTTAGGATTTACATTGAAACATTAAGAATAATCGAGACTCTCGCCGAAAACGTAAGTTTTCTTAAGCATCGCCTACGGTGTACATCGGCCCCCCTCCCCCCCTGAAAGCTCCCCTCTGCGCGCGGCTCTGGAGATGGGCGGCGCGCACAGGGCGGCGGGCGAGGTGGGGAAGGCTCCCGGACAGGAGGCTGCTTCTTATAGAGGAAAAAAAACTATGCACATACACCGATTCTGGCCAAGCCCATCCTGAGCCCAGGATCGGTGCATACGCCCTCCTGCCTTGGCCAGGAAGGCATATGCACCGATCCTGGGTCAAGGATGGGCCTCGCCAGGATCGGTGCATGTGCATAATTCTCTTCGCCCGATTCTTAGAAGGCCGGCCCTGCCTCTGCAGACGAGGCCCGCGCCTCCCACGAAGCAGGGGTGCTTCTGAGAATCAAGGGGCCCTGGGACACACAAATAAATACACACAAATAAAAGGATTCCCCATATTTTGCTATATTTTCGAGGTTTCTGTCTCCCCGCCCACTTCCCATATTTTCCCATATTTTCTGGGAAATCGAGGATTAATTGTGTCTGTGTGTTTTTTCCTCTCCTGATAGAAGGCCGGCCCTAACTCTGCAGACGAGGCCCGCGCCTTCCACGAAGCAGGGTGCTTCTGAGAAGCCTTCCCCCCCCCCCTAGGGCGACGAGATCTATGCATATCCACTGCTCCTGGCCAGGCCAATCCTGGGCCCAGGAGCGGTGTATACGCCCTCCTGGCCTGGCCAGGGAGGCATATACACAGCTCCTGGGCCCAGGATGGGCCTGGCCAGGAGCAGTGGATATGTATAGATCTCGTCGCCCTACCTCCCCCCGAGCCCCTCGATCCGCGAGACCTCCGACGACGGCGCCGACGACGGCGCCGACGTCATCGCCAGCCTCGCCCTCGCCGCCGCACCAGCGCTGCCCGCCGACGGCGGGGCCGCCCGGCCTCGGAGGGCGGCAGCAGCGAGTCGGAGGCGGAGCGGGGCGGCGGGACGAACGCCTTCCTGGGCGCGCGGGGAAGGAACCTCCCCCCTCAACTTCCTCCAAGCTCCCTTCCAAAAGGATCCCAAATGTCGAAAAGTTCCCAACGGAAGGTTTTTGTCAAATTTCGGCCTCTAGAGACCCCCGCCGGGCCAGAGGACCAACAAACACTGGCCCGGGAGAAAAAAACTGTCCTGGGGAATAGATGCAGACCGCTGAGGGTCCACGTCCACGTCATGAATAACCAGCCTCGAACTTATCCCTATCCCTAAGATGGGCGAGCAACAAGCGAGGACAATCTTAGGGATGTGCCCTCAAAAACTGAATGCATCCTTAATATCGGCATCGAGGTGAGGTGATGCCAAACACAGGGATCGGGAGATGTCTCAAAATGGTAAATGAAACAATCACGACATCGGGTGTCTGGGTTCTCTGAGATCCTGGCGCCTCAATGCTTTGGACCTGGGCGCTTTCGAACTGGGCGCTTTCGCTCGGTTTCGGGCCATAGGGCCGTCACATATCGATCCGGATCGAACAAGTGTATACAAAATTGCACGGATATGCCAGCACGGATGCTGAAGTTACTCCTGAGGACCGGGACAAAAACGATGCACCGTACCACTCCTGGGTCGAAGATCGATAGCGCCTCGGGAGACGCCAACGAGGTACGGTGCACACATGCCGCCCGCGGATTGAAAACTTCTAGACATTGTGCAACTAATTCGACCTGGAACCCTGATTCCGACCCCACGGCCCAAACACGATCTGGGATGGCACACTGGCCCTGGGAACGGAAGAGTCGGGACCACCAGGGCTCCAAAATGGAACAACAAAACTCTTCCGTAGGTCTACATGTTTTGGCGTCTGCCTTCTCGTCTCCCGTCCAGATCTTCTTCCTCCACCTGCTCCTCCCTTTCTCCCTTAGATGAAGAAGAAATGCCATAAACATAAACTTTTGGCGCTCCGCGCTGATCTCTTGAATCTGCGCTGGACCCCCACCCTTGCGCGCGGAGGGCGCTGGAGGCGCAGCCGGGGGCGCCCAGTGCGGATCCAAGAAATCCGCGCTGAGCGCAAAACGCTCATGTTTATTATGTATATATATATATATATATATATTTATGATCCTCCTCGATTCCTCCTACCGAACCATCAATAATTGTCTCGCCCACTGCGTTGCTCAGAATGCTGGCGTGTCCAACTGGATCCGGAACCCTGTGCGAAAAGCGTGCGCTCCTCCGCTCTTGTGCTCGGGGTCTGCCCTCATCCTCCACCTCCTTCCTCTCCACCTCCTCGTCCCTTCCTCCGCCTGCCTCGTCCGCTCCACCTCTTCCTCCGGCTCCGGGGAGGGCGTGGATGGGGGGGCACCACAAAAGGGTCACGTCTGTTGAGCATGCTTTCTCCCCTTCCCCCTCCTCCTCTTCCACTCGCCCTGCCCAATCCTCCCCCCCTTCCCCCCTCTCCCTCCCCACCATCCTCTGTCGGACGCCTCCGGGCGGCCCAAGAGTGATTAACCAATAAAGAACACCTAACCCTTTTTGAAGGGGACCTAAGTTGGGAGGGCCAACACACATTGAGGATAGGGGGTGTTTTTTCAGCAGATGTGTCAGACCAACCCGCCAAGAAATATTTCCTGAACGCAAAGACGGGGAACCTCAGTGAGGCCACGTCTTCATCGTGCTAGTAGGGTTTGGGGTTCTTGTGTGCTCGATGAAGAGTGCCCCAGACCCTCTACCCCGAACCTCGATTGCAGCGCGCCGCCGACGCCGACGACGCCGACGACGCCGACGGCGGCAGCGACGGCGGCGGCCACCACGGCCTCGGCGACGGCGGCGGACGGCGAGAGGGTGCCGCTCGAGACAGCCGCGGCGGCGGGGGCGCTCTCTGCCCGGGGGCTCAAGCTGAGCGGTGCTTGCCGTTCTCGCTCTGTTAGCGCTTCCCCCTCGCTAGAGCTAGGTCGGGCATGTCCCCCATACAGGCGGTTTTGCACGACGAATCAACAAAAAACAAATATTCTCAGGACCACAAAATACTCAAAACATCGACCCCAGTCTATTCATTGACGATGATTGGATATTCTTCCTGTAGTGGGACAAATCCGACATAACGCTAGAGGAAGAAAACAAAACCGTGAACATCAACTTTTGGCGCTCCGTGAGGAATTCTTGGATCCGCGCTGGACCTCCCATCCATGGCGCGCGGAGCGCGCCAGGGGCGGCGCCGGAGGCGCCGCCGGGGGGGCCCAGCGCGGATCCAAGAAATCCATGCTCGCGCGCCAAAGTAGACGTTTGCTGCGCTCTGCATGCTTCGGCTCGTGCTGCCTTCGCTCTCTGCCTCTGCTGCGGAGACGGACCCCAGGCGAGCACGGCCCACGAGAGCGACAACTGAAAACACCGTTCAGGGCAGGAGAACCCAGAATCGAATCGAGATGTCGGATCGGCGATCGAAACGAATCGGATCGGCGGAGATCGGCAGCCGAAGCGGGGAAAGTCGAATCGGCGGAAATCGGCAGGCTAGTATGCCTCCAATAAGAAATCTGACCCCAAATCGGAATCCGAAATCGAATCGAATCGGAATCGGAATCCACCGAAATCGAATCGAATCGAATCGGAGGAATCGAAATCAGCCCTGTCAGGGCGGGCCCTGCGCTGCCCGTCCTCGGGGGATCGCCCGGGGCCTCCGTGCAGCCCGGGGCCGCGGGATCGCCGGGCTCGGGCATCTCGGAGCCCGCGCCTCCGGGGGGGGGGCGGGGGGGCAGCGGCTGCCGCGGCGCGCCCGAGGCGGGCGCGGGCGCCGCTGCCCCACGCGGCGGGCGCCTCCTCGCGCCCGCGCCCTCGCCTCGTGCGTTCTGCAAGGGCTCCCAACTTCGCGCTTCGCGCTGCGCGAAGCGCGAATAACTTCGCGCTCATGCGCCGCCTCCCAGGGGAGAAGAGGAGGATGAGGAGGAATCGGAGCCGAACCGCGAAGCGCGAATACCTTCGCGCCCTCGAGGGCGCCCTTGGTTCTGCGGCGCGATCCCGCGGATCTGCAGTCCCACGGACTCCGATGCGCGCGGGGCATCCGCCAAAGAGCGGCCCGTGGAAGTCGAAGTCCGGACGAAGGAAACTTCGGGTGAAAAGGAATCGAGAATCTCCGAGATCTTGCGGCCCAAGAAGATGGCTCGGGCGCCGCGGCCTTCTCAGAGCGTTCCGGAACGCTCTGGAACGGATGGATCCTCGTCCTAGCCCCGCCCGGCTGTATCCCATAAATACTCCCGACATCAAGATTGCATCATGACGCGGGCCCCCAGAGGTCTCGACCCATTGCCCGGGGACCGGCTCCTCACCCTGCATGTTCTCGTTGACGGTCCGGGAGCCTGGTGGGGACCTCCAGAGGCCGGACACCGCGAAAAGCCTCCCGTCGTGATTCTTTCATGTCTCGAGATCGGACGCCCGAAACAAGTACGGAAAAAAATAGTACAATGCCCAACAAACAACTGTTGTCCCAAAACAACAGCGGCCGCTGCTGGGCAGGCGGCCTTCTGTCTGACATGGGCACGGGCCGCGGCGACACCCCCAGCGAGTCCTATTCAAAAGGAGCAAGAACTGCTGTCGGTCTCTGTGCCCATTCTTTCCGTACCCATTGCGATCGGCCCGATCGAGGGGGTCGGGGATCCAGAGGGCGACAACTGCGAAAATAGACAACGAATGAATAAACATAAACTTTTGGCGCTCCGCGCGGATCTCTTGGATCTGCGCTGAATCCCCACCCCTGGCGCGCGGAGCGCGCCAGGGGCGCCGCTGGAGGCGCTGCCTGGGGGGCCCGGTGCGGATCCAGGAAACCTGCGCGGAGCGCCAAAAGTTTATGTTTATGGGGGGGCAAACAGACCTACCTCGCTTTTGACCACCCTCGCTTCCAAGAGATACCAAACGATGCCAAACTACGGCCTGCGCTTGTCAGGCCGCTTGACGAGGAGGCGCGTGGTATGACTTGGTTTTGCCTGGAAGCGAAAGCGGGGTAGGTAATGCACGCTCTGATTTATGGCGTTTTCCACTCTTCGACAAAAGCCTCCCGTCGTGATTCCTTCACGGCTCGAGGGGTCGGGGATCCACGGGACAGCGGCCCAGGAGGCCCGGCCCGCGAGGCCGCGAGGCCGCGGAGCTGTTCGAACAACGCCCGCGTCGGGGATCTGCTGACCTGGGTCAGCAGGAAACCAAAAACTGCAATGCAGGGAAAAAAAAACTGCAACGCAGGTCCTCGCAAACCCGGGTCAGCCAATACGCGCGGCCGCCTCGCGGCCACGAGGGTCAGCCAGAGGGGGCCTTCGCAGGATCCTGCAGGATCTGGCGCCCTGGCTGACCCCCGTTTGCACTGACCCCCGTCTCGAGGCTCCCGACCGCGACGGGTGCTAATTATGCCGGGAGGCGGCGGCTGGCAAAGATCTCCACACCACGCCGGGGATAGCTAGGCAGACATCCCGCCGGGCCTCTCTGGGCGTGCCGTCGGGCTGCAGGAATCTGCCAGCCGCGCCTGCACGGAGTGGGCGTGTTCGAATGCTTGCCTTGGAACAAGAACAGCACATAATGAACATAAACTTTTGGCGCTCCGCGCGGATTTCTTGGGTCTGCGCTGACCAGGGGCGGCGCCGGAGGCGCCGCTGGGGGGCGCCCAGCGCGGATCCAAGAAATCCGCGCTGAGCGCCAAAAGTTTATGTTAATGGCGTTTCTTCCTCTTCGATGTCTGTTGTCTGCGAGGTTCGTTAGGGTCAACCCGTATCACAAGGATGGGGCTGTGGGGATGCATGGGCCTTGCAGTCCCGTGTGGGCGGTTTTCGAACGACGCTAGCCAGCGAAGGTCGCCAAGGATGGGCCGAAGAGGCAAGGATGCAGCAGTACCCTTGGGAAGGTTGCCCATCCTTCCTACGCGAGGTTTGTTACAATCATTCCGTACAATAAGGATGCGCGATAAAAATGCACGGTCCAGAAACGGGTGCCGTTCCGCATGGAATGGGAAATGGCGTGGATTAGCGACGGGTGCCGTTTCCATGGGAAATCGCGAGGATGTGCGATAAGGTCCTTGAACGCCCATTTCGTAGCTTTTCGAGCGGGGCGCGGCCAGCGAAAGTGGCCAAGGACGGACCGAGGACGCAAGGATGCAGGGACACCCTTGGGAAGGCTGCCCGTCCTTACTGTGCGGGGTGGCTGTAGAATGCTTGTCTGTCTGTAGTCTGCGATGTTCGTTCAAATTTTCTAGAGGAGGCCCCCCCCCCTGAATCGAACCCGTGCTTCCAAGGTCGCCTCCCGTGATAATTACTCCTAAGCGCTCCGATCAACCTCCAGACGGCCGAGATGGCCTCCACGAGGGCCTCCAAGACAGCCAAGCCGACATAACAGCGGCTCAAGATGGCACAAGACGTCTCAAGAGGCTCTCAAGACATCCTCAAACTGGCCCAAGAAGCCCCCAGGACTGATCTGAGAGGCCCTCCGGGGGAGCTCGATGAGGCCCAAGCCAAAGATTTGCCTTATGTATGTGAAGAATTGTGAGGTTCTCGTCTGCTCGGGTTTCCGACTTCCCAAGACGGCTCAAGTGGCCTCCAAGATATCTCCAAGACCAAGACAGCACACGTGGCCCCAAAGAGTGCCCCGCGTCGGCCCAAAAGAGGACCCCAAGATCACTCGAGAGGCTGGCAAGAGGGCCCAAAGACGGCCTTAGAGCGCTTCAAGAGGGCACCAAGACGGCCGAGATGGGCCCCCAAGACGGCGTCCGATCAGCCAGGCCAAGAGCCTCCACAAGACGGCCCAGGGGGCCCCTCGAGAGGCCCCAGGAGGGCCCCCATTGGGCCCCCAATGGGCCCAAAACAGGCCCTGAGAGGCCCCTCCTTATCTCCTTCCTTCTCTCCCTCCTTCTCCTCCTCCTCCTTCATCCCTATCGCGCGGACGACAACAAGGTCGAGGTCACGAACCTCCCCAAGTCAGACCACCCGCTGCACTGCAGCGGGGCGTGAACCCGACCACCCTCTGCACAGCGCCGACGGAGACGAGGTCGAGCTCACGACCCGCCGCGATCCAAATCACTCGTAAAACGTGCGCTGCTCCCACTCTCAACCTCCGCCCTGCTGCGCTGTTTACACAGGCACGGCTGGATACGGCATGTTAGACAAAGAGCATACTCATGATCATAAAGCGGGATGTCACCGCAACAAACGTGCACATGAAACCCTTTTTTCTTCCCAACCGAGCCGTGAAATCCGAAGGAACGGCCGTAGAATCCGAAGGAACACCGATTGGGGACCAAAGAAGCCACGGAACGCACGCAGACCTAAGAACCACCAAGCCCCTTCCGACCTCGAACTGGATATCATGTCAACAAACTGGCTTTAGGTTCGGAGGCAAATCCTGCGGCCTTCGCAAGAACAATGCAGAACATTGTCGAACCCGATTCGGGCTTATCAAGGGGCCGTTAAGTCGCATTTTGAGCCCAAGATGGGGCCCGAGTAAGCCAGGCTCAACGGGATTAAACATCTAACTGGATGTTTGGCCGGATTGTGCCAGTCTTCGACCACGGAAATAGCAGCGCAGGTGCTGAATTGATCCTCCCAGGAATTACATCCAAGGCGAGATTGTGATTCCTAACCTCCCCCCTCCACCTTCTCGGTCTGGAAGGGGGGAAGTAGAAGGAACGCCTGAGGACACCGGCTGATCAAGGAAAGATGCAAGACAACCTGACAGTATCAAGTCTACACGGAACTCGAGCCCGAGTGCACGATGAAGCCTCCTCCCTAAGAGGAGGGTCGAGGTTCGCTGAACGAGGGTCCAAACTTTGGATGCTGCTGGCATCTTTCTGGAATGTTGGGGCCCCTGCAAGCCTCCTGAGGCCTGTGGCTGCGGGTAGTTACGTCGTCCTCTTACTCCTCCTCCTCCTCCTCCTCCTCCTCCTCCTCCTCCTCGCCCTGCACATCCAGCGACTCGGCAACATCGAAAAGGCTGATTTTTTGTGGTACGTAATCGTGTTGCTTATCTTCGGGCCCAGGGCAATCAAAAACGGCTGAGGACGGAAAAAGGATAGAACATCACGCACTCGGCTCCTGTGCGTGATAAGTGATAGCCAGATCTGCCGTAGTCAGTCTGCTATGGATCATAATGTGATCGAATGTGCGACTGCGCGTGGCGCGATACGTGGCCGCACCTTCAGGAGCACAGAGACTGGTGGGGGATACTCTGATGGCAGTGAGTTGGGCGCGATGCCGAAACTTGGTGCGTTGGATGGGGGTTCGACCATCATCGTTTGTGGGGATGCGAGGCCGAATGGCCCTTCAACACAATGAGTGGGCTCTTCGCGTGGGGCGTCCACTGAGCCATGATCTGCACCCGAATTCAAACAAGGCCCGCAACGCCAACGAGTGAAGCGGGAGGTTCATTTCCGTCGCAGCGTGAAACAACACGGTCGGACCCAAGACGCGAAAACGCCCCCCAAGAACATGGGACCCTCAGCTGGCCAGGGCGCCCCCCCCAGGACGCACCAGAGCACCCGACAAGCACGAGGAACGTCAGGGCACCCAGAACCTCCCAGGGCGCCCTCCCCAGGGTGCACAAGAGCACCCAACAGACACGAGGAACATCAGGGCACCCCCCCCCGAACCGAGACACGAGGAACCTCAGGGCACCCTCCCTGGGGAGCCCACAAAGGACGTACGCGCCCAGCTATGTACATGAACACGGCCCCTCGATCCGCGAGACCGGCCGCGTTATACGGACATTTGCGCAATGCGTTCTCTCGAAACCAGCGTGGATTCATGTACATGTACGTCCTTCTTTCGCTCCTGACTCCCCGCACCGGCCTCGATCTCTTCTCTGCCTCGGCCCGACCGCACCGGCGTGCGCACGGGCAGAGGCGGCGACACCCGAACCCTGCCCCCACCGCCCATGGCCTCTCCGGACTCGATGGGAGGCGGGGGTTAATCCTCCTCCTCCTCCTCCTCCTCCTCCTCCTCCTCCTCCTCCTCCTCCTCCTCCTCCCCCTCCCCCCTCCTCCTCCCCCTCCCCCCCTCTCCCCTCCTCCTCCTTCTCATCCCACCCTCCTCCTCTCCTCCTCCTCCTCCTCCCCCTTCCCCCTCCTCCTCCTCCTCCTCAGGCCTCGGATTTCGCCACGTGCTCGACGAAGTCCGAACCCTCCCCCCGCCGCCCATCCAGTGGCCCGCATCATCGATCGGCGAGGGCAGGCCTCTCGGACTCCGCCGCCGACCGGGGGACGCCCCGGGGCACGAACCTGGCGACTCGCGCGGACGACTGCGTCCTCGGCGGCCCCGCGGTGCCACCGCGCCGTGCCCGCGCAGGCTGCTCATGCGCCCCCGGAGCCGTCGACGATGCGAGGAGTGGCCCGCTCCGAGGGCGTTGGGGCCAACCCCAGACCACCGACGTGGACCCCCAAAAGGTCTCGACCCATTCACTGGGACCGGCACCACCCCGTCATCCTGACTCGTATTCTGACGGTCCGGGGGGCCAGCGACGACCCCCAGAAACCGACAACGAAAACACATAAAAAACACGCCGTGAACTTTTTTCATGGCGCGAGGAGGTCGGGAAGGGTCACAGCAAATCTGCAAAACTGACATCCTGCCCATGCTTGTTGCTGCTGCTCCAGGGCAGCGCCCAGAGTGCCTTGCGACAACGCGGAGCAGGGATCCCTGCGGCCAGGAATCCGGCAAAAATACATTCCTCGATACTGGCCCTCCTGATCAGCCGTCCAACGATACAACAGAACATGCAACGATACAACAGACACGCGCGCAATTCGAGGCGGCAAGGGAACAGCCTAGCATACGGAGTGGCCAGGGCACATTTCGCATCTCCGGACGCGCCTCCCAGGCACGTCATGTTGCCCAGGGCGTCGACCATGTACTCGCCAGGGAAGTACACCTTGAGAAGAGGGGAACACTACCAGATCAACAGTACAACATGTTCCGCCGACGGTCCCTTTTGTCCTCTTGCTTTTCTTGAAAATCATCTCTGTCATGGCCCTGCTCCTCCTCGATGCTGCTCCAGAACATCCGCGGCCCTTCGCCCGAACCGTTCAGCACCCCACCATGCCTCCGAAATCGTGCTCTACTCACGACGTTCGCCCCCGCACACCTGGAGCTCCATCCAACAAGTGTTCTTCATTATGGTTGAAGCTCCCTGTCCTGGGACTTACTTGCGGCTCGATGTAACAGCACACCAACAAATATGCGGTTGGTGTCACGACGCGTGAAACATGGGATCATGCACGTCTTGAGACAATCGTCGGCCCCTTGGGGGTTTTCATGCGCTGATGATGCCCCCGCCGGGCCTCTCCTGCCTGGGGCGAATCGCACGGCGCCCCAGGTTCACCATTCTCCCACGCGGGGCCAAGTGGAGAAGTGCCCACGGGAGACGCACTTGGAAGTCACTGGGGCTGGCTCTTGTGATGCCTGGGGCATTTCGTGCCTTGCAGGAAATGAAGGCAGGCTCCGTCCTTGCACGTGTCACGGATCCCTTCGGCCGTTCCTACGTGTTGCGCTAAATTCAAGTGCGCCCCAGAATTCCTCCCCCCCTCGACGCTGGCATACCCTTCCTAGCGTACACCACGCGGGGCAAGAGCCCAAAACATCTGCGCCTGACGGGACATATCTCCGAGGAATATGCCGACATGGGATAATTACCTAACGCCGTTCTCTTAAAAGCAGCGATCCATAGCTTTTGACCCTCCAGTCTCTACGTTGGGTCGTGAGACGCTTGAACTAGAGCTTGCACCTCTGCTTCAGGGACACGTTCAAACCATGGAGGTTCAGGAAGAGTGAAGGCGAAGCAGCCTGACATAAAAGATGAGGAGATGATTATGAGGAGGAAGCGAACGCGGACGACATGTCCAGATGTTTTCGCGAGTCTGGGAAAGTCCTCGTCTAACACCCACGCATGCCCCAAAAAGTGTCCCTGGCCTTTGCAACTGCCATTATGAGCGTGCAAGCGGAAGGTTTCGACCCCTGCTTGCACTATTAGAAGTTCGCCCCCCTCGTCCTGCTGCATGTCTAAAGGCCGCCGCCGAGCCTCCGTCCTCTTCGCCTGTACGCACGACCTCTCCCCGAAGCCCCATTTTCGCCCCGCCTGGGGATGGATTCGCGTCGACTGGATCTCGCCAGAGCGCGCATGCGTATGATCACTCGACCAACCCCATCCCCGCCTGATCCTTCTTACTTGCCTACTGGTGAGGATGAAGAAGGGACAGATGCTGTAAGAGTGCCCCCCCCCACCCGAAGACTGAGTACGGTGGCGCGGATCCAGCGCGGACTCCACACAATGAGGAGCATGATGATGAAGGACACAGCGGATCCCCCCACATCGGTGCTGAGGTGCTGCGAACCTTGAACAGCTCTGGCGCGAACATCAGCGGAACCTCCTTGCCGTCCGCCGTGGCACGGAAGACCTTGAAGCTCACCTGCCCGCCCGCGGGAGCACCGTCAGGCGACTTGGCCATCAGACAGACACTGGGCAACCGATCTTTACGCCTCGCGCCGCGCGAAACGCATTCTCGCACTTCGCACCGCCCGGGGAAGCACGACAGCCTCCCAGCCTAGAACACGAAGCGGCAATCGCTTTCAACCCACATGCCGCTGCCCACTCCTCCCCGCCCCCCTCCCGAAACCGAGCATGGCCTGCAGAAGCTCCGGGGAACCTCCAAAAACAAACGGAAGTCCCCTTTCCTACTCCTCTTCCTCCTCCTCCTCCCTCCTTGCTTCGGTTGTGTCACCGAAACTACAAATACCCCGCCCCAACAACGCAAACAGCACGACTGGTCAAAAACACCCTATCCCTGGGCTTGTAATCCTGGCCTCACCTCCACCGAACTCTGCAAACGCGGTGTGGAATGGAATCCTGCGTCACACACCAGGCTCCAGCTGTCCTTGACGGAGGACCCCAAAAAATTTTGGAGGTCCGAGCGGATTTCTTGGATCTGAGCTGGCGCCTCCCCCTGCCGCGCGGAGCGTGCCAGGGGCGGCGCCGGAGGCGCCGCCAGGAGTCCCAGCGCAGCACAAAACGAGCGGGGCGACAAACGTTGATGCTCATGCAAGTTTCTGTTCGTCGAGTTGACAACGCGACACAAACCTAGCATTAAGTCGGGCGTGTCCCCCTACAGGGGGATGTTCGACTAAAAATAAGAACTACTCAAAACAGAATCCAAAATTGTCAAACAATACTTAAAACAAAGAGTTCCTGGACTATTTTTCCTATGTTTGAATATTCCCCCTGTAGAGGGACAGGCCCGACTTAAACCCAGTATCAAACTTCTCTCGAGCCTCTGACTTGTGGACCCGCCCCTGCAGACCGCTTGTCCGCCCCCCCGGGGGTGTGCCTGCTGGCCCCGGGGGCGCGCCTGGCCACGTCGAGATGTGACGACGCCCGGGCACGCTCTCTCCTCCTCCCGCGCCCCCCCCTCCCTTCGGGCTGGGCGCAAGGGGGGGGCAGCACAGGGGGGGGTTGAGAATCAGCTCACGTAACTAGCTGATTTACCCAGCGCCTCCCGGCGCCGGAGGCGGCCATGTATGAGGACTCGGCCCCTTGGTGGGGCCGAAACCAGCTGCATGCAGCAAATTTCGTACCCCCCCCTTTCCCTATCCCCCCTTTTCGTCCGGCCCCCTCCCCCATACCAAGGCGAAGCCAGGACGACGATTCATTCAGGTGAGCATACTTCGAGAGTGTCTGAGAGCCGGCAGCTCTGGAAGATGCAGCGCGCGTCGCGGCCTCCTCAGAGCCTTCCGGAGCGCTCCGAGAGCATTCGGGAAGGCTCTGGAACAAATTATATCCTTGTCCCAGCCCCGTCCGGCCACCCCCCCCCCATATCACGATTCCTCTGCATCTGCATGCCGAGCCTGTGAGCGCTTTCGCCGATGCGCCTACTGGGGTGGGCTCGATCTTCGGTGCCTTGTACACTGCTGAGCTCTTAATGCTGATCCCTCCCTTCGCCAGACCTGCCTCTATGGAGGCAGGCAACTCCTGAGTCCTTACTCCTTAGCCCCAGACCAGTACGGTGCAACCGCGTGAAACTCAGTCAATATGAAATACGAAGACGACCACCCTTCGGGTGATAAGGAGGTTCGGGGGGATCTAAGGTCTCAGTCAATCGATCTCACGATTGACCTCACCATCGCTCTTACTATTTATCGATACCACTATCATTCTCAGTCGACCTCATTATCGACCTCACGATCGATCTCACCATTGACCTCACTATCGATCTCACGATCGCTCTCACGATCGACCTATCGATCACCCTATCGATCTCACTGTCGATCTCACTATTGATATCACGATCGATCTTACGATCGATCTCACTATCGATCTCGCTGGGGGACACCGACAGGACACCACCAAGACACCCGCGGAACACCCCAGGTCACCGCAGGCCAAAGCGGGGAGGCCAGATTTTTGGCCCAGCGGCACCCTAACCAGAGGAGTGTTTTTCCCTCTCGCCCGCTTACGCAGCTTCGCCTCGCCCGCACGCACGACACAAACACGAAACCGACACCGATTTCCCGGTGTCTCTCCGTTTCATTGCAATCTCAACCCCTCACCTCAGATACCTTCGGAAAGAAGCCGGATCGGCACGTATCGGCAGAAACCGGCTGACACATCGAATCGGCAGTCGGATCGAGCGCACTCGAAATCGCAATCGCGAGTCGGAATCTCCGTATCGAAACGGTTCGGATCGGCAGCCGCGGAAATTGCATCGAAGGACCGCTGCCCTCCTCCTCTCGCCTCCCTCTTACTCCTTCCTGTTGCCGCCGCTCGGACGCATTCTTGTTCGCGTGATTCTCTTGACCCCCTCCCCCCTCCCCCCTCCCCTCTGCGGGGGCACGCAGGAGGAGGCAATCTTAGACCTCACAACTGCACAAGGCGGCCTCCATATGGGGTCCGCGCGTAGCGAGTGGATCCGGGAGGAATCGCGGAGAACACACAAACCCACTTCACACACACACACACACACACACACACGCACATCCCACACACAAACACACGCAAACAAACACACACACAAACACACACACACAAACGCACACACAAACGCAAGCACAAACACACATACACACACACACACTTTTGGGCGTCGCGTCCTTGCGCGCGGCGAGAGGGCGAGAGGGTCGTAAAGCAGCGAGCTGGCGAGCAACACACACACACACATGCACACACACACACCCACAAGCGCACACGCGAAACCAACGAGCCCGAGCGACGCTCCGTCCTTCGGCGCCAAGCGAATTGACACAACTGCAACTCAAAATCGGTCCCCCAATCCCCGGAAAGGAGTCCAACCGCACAAATGTTCCGAGCTGCGCCCAACCGTGGCGACGAGGGCCGCCCCCGAGGGCCGTCGCCTTAGCTCGCTCTCCTCCTCCCCTAAGGAGGCCTCCCGGATGGGGTCGGAGCAGATGGGGTTTGAAGGGGAACTGTGACACACAAATAAATACACACAAATAAAGATATCCCCCATATTTCCCAATATTTTCTGGGTCCTTGTCTTCCCCCCCCCACTTCCCCTATTTTCCCATATTTTCTAGGCATCGCCGATTAATTGTGTCTGTGTGTTTTTTCCCCTCCTGAGGGTTGAAGGATCGTGCCGCATCACCAACGCATTGCAAGTCACATCGGCGATGCATCGGCGATACGTCGGCGATGCGTCGGCGACTCGGGGATGGACAGACCCCCGTGTAGTAAAACGTGGTTTAGTGAAAACGACCTGAGGCCCAAGCCTGGCGGGCGCAAGCCTGGAAAATAACGGCCACGGCGCCCTCTCGAGAACCGAAAACGGACAATTCACTGATCGACGTGTCACTGTTGGGGGTTCTGTCCACCCCCGATTGGAGGATCGTGCCGCATCGCCAACGCATTGCAAGCCACCTCGGCGATGCATCGGCGATGCGCCGGCGATGCGTCGGCGACACGTCGGAGTGCCTCTCTGCGCGGGTGGAGACCACTGAATCTCCATCCGCACCGAGCCGCACCGGCGATCCGGCGCAGTCCTCCGACACCGCCTGCTCCGACCCCATCCGGGAGGCCTACACCCTGCGAAATGCTTAAGAAATCATGGGTTAAGAAATTCATAGTCTCAGAACTTGAATAAAAACCCAACATGTCTATTCAAATCTTGGGATTTACATTGAAACGTTAAGAATAATCGAGACTCTGGCCGAAAACTTAGGTTTTCTTAAGCATCGCCTAAGGTGTAGACCCTGTCCCGCCCCTCCGCGGAAGCGTCCGGGAACTTCACGCTGCCCCCGGCGTCGAACTTCTGCGCGGCGCCCGCCTTGCCCTCCTGGTCGACCACGGCGAGGCGGAGCTGGTCCTGCTCGCGCGGGAACAGCGGCCGTTGCCTGACTTGACACAGCTCGGACGTCCGTTCCCCGTGCCAGTGGTCGGCTTCGTACACTTGTTCTGCACCATCCTGTGGCTTTGGGCCCTCGTTTTTTGAAGCGACGGCGCCCCGCGTGCCTCTCCTCCTGCTCCTCCTCCCCCTCCCTCCCCCCGCTCCTCCTCCTCGCTCCTCCTCGCTCCTCCTCCTCCTCCTCCTCCTCCTCCTCCTCCTCCTCGCTCCTCCTCCTCGCTCCTCCTCCTCCTCCTCCTCCTCCTCCTCCTCCTCCTCCTCCTCCTCCTCCTCCTCCTCCTCCTCCTCCTCCTCCCCCTCCTCCGTCCCCCTCCTCCCATCCCTGCCTTTGCCCTCCGCATGCCTGTGCTTCGGCACACCCACCGTAACGCTTCGTGGCCCCTCCGGGACGGCTCCGGGAGGCCCGGCGCGCCCAGGGCGACGCGAGGCAGCTGGCAGCTCTCCCCCTGTAGCCTGGCAGGTATCTGTATGTAGGTATGTATGCTTGCATACACATATGCATGTATGTATGTATGTATGCATGTATATATGTATGTATGTATGCATGTATATATATGTATGTATGATGAATGTATATGTGTGTATGTGTGTATGTATGTATGTATGTGTGCATGCATGCATGCATGCATGCATGCATGCACGTATGTATGTATGTATGTATGTATGTGTGTATGTGTGTGTGTGTGTGTGTCTGTGTGTCTGTCTGACTGTCTGTCTGTCTGTCTGTCTGTCTGTCTGTCTGTCTGTATGTATGTATGTATGTATGTGTGTACGTTTGTGTGTATGTATGTATGCATGCATGCATGCATGCATGTATGTATGTATGTGTGTATGTGTATGTCTGTATGTATGTACGTATGTATGTACGTACGTGTGTATGTGTGTATATATGTGTATGTATGCATGCATGTATGTATGTATGCATGTATGTATATGTATGTGTAGGTATGTATGCGTATGGATGTGTGCATGTATGTAAATGTGTCGGTCTGTGTGTATGCGTGCATGCATGCATGTATGTGTGTATGTAGGTATGTATGCAAATGTGTGTATGCATGTATATGTGTATGTGTGTATGTGTGTATGGTTGCGTGTATGTATGTATGTATGTAGGTATGCATGTACGTAGGTACGCATGTGTTCATGTCTGTTCATGTATGTATGTCGTTAGGCATACGCGTGTTAGATGTATGCATGCATGAATGCATACGTGCATGTATGCATTCGTGTATGCGTGTTTGTATATGTATGTGGGTATGCGAGGATGTGTGCATCTAGGAATGTATGTGTGTATGGGTGGATGGTTGCATGTATTCGTTTATGTATGTATGCCTGCATACTTGTATGATTGCATGCACGTGTATGTATGTATGCATGTATGCGTGTATGTATGTATGTATGTATGTATGCATGTATGTATGTATGTATATATGTATGAATGTATGCATGCGTGCATGCATGTATATACATGCATGCATGTATGCAAGCATGTATGTTTGTAGGTATGTACATTCGTGTATACATACATCAGTATCTGCATTCAACTGGATTCCTGTGCGCCCGCAGTGCATGTCAACGCAACTGATGTGATCTGACGCAATGTCAAACGTGGCGGCGAAAATGGCAATCGCTTCATTCTTCGCAGCCCCCCAGGGAGCCGCGAAGTCCCAACTGGGTCCTGGTACAACTCCACTCCGCGCGTCCTCCAACGAGCCCACGAAAGTGGCGACAACTTCACACTTCGCAGCCCCGCAGGGAGCCTCGAGGTCTCAACTGGGTCTACGTACAACTCCACTCCGCGCGACCTCCGAGGAGCCAACGAGAATGGCGACACTTTCACACTTCGCAATTCCCCGAGGAGCCGCGAGATCTCGACAAGATCCCCGTTCAACTCACTCCACGCGACCTCCCAGGAACCCATGAAAAAGGCGACAACTTCACAGTTCGCAGCCCCCCAGGGAGCCGCGAGATATCGACGGAATCCGTACAACTCAACTTCGCTGGACCTCCCAAGAGCCAACGAAAATGGCTACAATTGTACACATCGCAGTCCCCCGGGGAGCTGCAAGATCTCAACTGGGTCCCTGTAAAACTTCACTCCGCGCGACCTCCCAGGAGCCCACGAAAGTGGCGACTGTTTCATACTTCGCAGCCCCTCAGGTAGCTGCGAGGTCTCGACTGGGCCCCTGTACAACTCCACTCCGCGCGACCTCCCAAGAACCCTCGAAAAATGAGACAATTTCTCACACTTCGCAAGCCCCCTGGGAGCCACGAGGTCCCGGCTGCGTGTGCGTGTAACTCCACTCCGACGACAAATTTACGCTTCGCAACCTTACAGAAAGCCGCGAGTTCACAACGGGGCTGCGGCGCAAGCAGGACGCAAGAGAGGAAAATAACAAGGCAATGTCCGCGTGTTCTCCCACTTCGCTGAACCTGCCAGGATTCAGGAAGCAGGAGGCAGAATGAGGAGGAGGAGGAGGAGGCAAGAGGGGGAAGAGGGGAAGGAAGGTTGCAGAGCGCAGTGCTCTATTCAAGACGAGAACCCAACGCAGGAGGGTTGGGAGAATCACGACGGAGTTGTTTTCTGTATTATCGGCCTCTGGAGGCCCTCGCCAAGCATTTGGACCATCACAGAAAGACTCCGGATGGAGAACTGGTCCCGAGGGGTTGGTCGAGACCTCTGGGGGTCGACGTCATGACAAAAATCATGACGTGGGGGATCTGTGTATCAGGGCTGTGGAGGCTCGGCGGTGATGGAGGGCGTCTTGTCCGTCCCATCCTGTTCCGCCATCCAGCTATTTCACCCCTGTACCTCAGTTCTGTTTGCCTATTCTCTGAAAAAGAGGGGTGGGGCAATTAGTTATTCAAATAGGATGGTGTCTAGCCAACCTCGCGGTTCTGGCCTGCCAGATCCACCCAATCGCTGCTATAAGTTAAGACATGTTCATCCTCTCTGGAGGTCTCTGGGGCTCTTCTGCGGTCTGCAGGGGCTTTCAAGAAAGGCCAAGCAGAACACCGTCTGAGTCAGGATAAACATAAGCAATCCAAGTGCCTGCGAGAACATCGTTCTCGATCCTCCACCCCCTCCTCCCTCTTCCTGTTCGGAATGGTGGCCAACCCACAATTTGGTCGTCATGGGCGATTCTGGCTGGTCCCATGAGAAGTGCAACAACTAAAGAAAAGGCAATTTTCAACCTCTGGCGGTCCTTCGGGAAGGGCCACACATCGGTCGGCGAGACGGCGGCCAGGCGGATGGTCACGCCACCCTGGATGAGCGACTCGCGGCAAAGAACCTCCGCAAGCATGGACGGCTTCTCCCCTGTCCCCGTTTGTCCTTTCTCCTCCTGCTGCTGCTCATCCCCCTTCATCCTTTTGGGTCCCTCACTCCTCTTCTGGCCATCGCTCGGGCGTCCATTCCCTGTGTTTTTTTCAAGTTTCGTGCGTGGATTTTTCGCGAAATGATCAAGGATGCTCCTCGATGGTCCTCGCCGAGGAAAAAACGCACACGTCCGAGCGATGCCAAGTCTTCATCTTCCCACTGCTGGTCTTTCTCCCCCCTCCCTCCTCATCCTCCCACGCTGCCCAACCTCTTTGTCCTCAACCTCAACTTTACATCCCGCACCTGGCAGGTCTGGATCGAGGTTGTCACATTGAGAAAGAAGACCCATTGACCAGCCTCGCACACACTGCATACCGCGGCAGCCGGGCCCCAAGGGTACCCGGTGCTCGCTGGGCATCCCGCCTCGCGTCCTCGACGAATGACGACCGCACACCGCGGCCGCCAGGCCCCACGGATCCCGGTGCTCCATCGGTATCCCGTCTCGCGGTCTCGGGCGGGGATCGCTCGAAGCAGGATGATGTTCATTTGTACTCTCTGATGTTGCGTCCTCCGTGGATGGCTTCTAGGCGCGGCTTCTAGGCGCGGCTCCTTGCGTGAGTGCTTGGATCAGATATCTAGAGGGACAAACATTTTGAGGAGGCCAAGAGATGCACACATAAACAGACACACACACATGCTTGGAATCGCCATCTGTTCCATAGTGTCTAGATGCTTTTCTACCCCTCCGCTTCCCATAGTCTCATACAGTTGGCTGACCAGAGAGGAGGCATGGGGAGGAGGGGAAGGGGAACAGGAGGAAGGAGAGGTGGGGAGGAGGAGGATAAGGCCTCCTCCCTCCTCTTCCTCCTTCTCCCCCCCCCCTCCTCCTCCTCCTCCCTCCTCCTCCTCCTCCTCCTCCTCCTCCTCCTCCTCCTCCTCCTCCTCCTCCTCCTCCTCCTCCTCCTCCTCCTCCTCCTCCTCCTCCGTTTATGCTGCCCATCCTCTCTCTCTCTCTCTCTCCCTCTCTCTCTCTCCGCGCCGCCCCTTCTCCTGCCCCCCTGGTACTGCACGCCTGCACCGTCCGGCTGGGGATGTACAGCTGCGTGGAGTGGTACCGGTTGTCCCACGCCTGGCGCAGGGAGCCGCACCCCTCCCGGTCGCTGCCCTCTCCGCCCCCTTCCCTCCCCCATCCTCCTCTCTCGTTCCTGGTCTTCCCTCTCGCCATGTCCTGAGATAGGGGTGCTTGTCCTTACTCAGACGGCTCCGAGAACCCTCACTCACGCACCTCGCTCCTCCTCCTCCTCCTATCCTTCTACAGCCTCACTCGTCACGCTCAGACTCACTCACTCTCAGCCTTCCCCATCTTACTCAGTCTCACTCGTACGCAGACTCACTCACACTCGCTCAGGCTCAGTCGTGCTCAAACCAATTCATATTCAGTATCTCTCATACTCAGACTCACTCTCAGTCAAACTCACTCACACTCAGACATATTCACTCCTGGACTCAAGCGTACTCAGACTAACTCACACTTGTACTCTTCTCACTCTTCTCATTATCAGATTCCGAAACACTCATCCTTATAATCACTCAGGTGGTTTGGAGGCCCCAAGAGGCCTCCAAGATGCGTCCCAGGAGGGCCCCTCGGCGCAAAAATTGGCCCGTTCCCTTCGTGAAACGTACATTTTTCACAAATTTGCCTTTTGGGCTTTCCGACGCTCCCAGACGGCCTTGGAGGCCTCCAATACAGCCCCAAGGTAGCCCAGAGGCGTTCGAGCCGGGGTCATCCGGGCTCCGGCGGATCCCGGCTCGAACGCCGCCGGGGGGAGCAAAGGGCCCGAAAACGAACCAAGAGCGCACCAAGGGGCCCCCGAGACGGTCAAGAAGGCCCCGAGTAGCCAAACCAGCGTTCGAACACGCCCAAGATGGTCCCAAGACTGCCCAAGAGACCCCCAGGAGGGCCCCTCGGCGCAAAAATTGGCCCGTTCCCTTCGTGAAACGTACATTTTTCACAAATTTGCCTTTTGGGCTTTCCGACGCTCCCAGACGGCCCTGGAGGCCTCCGAGGGCAGCGCGCAGGCCAAAATGGCTGCGCGGTCACCTCGTGCTCAACCACCTCGTCCTCATCCACCCCATCCTCGTCCTCCCCCTCGCCATCCTCCCCAACCTCACCCTCCTCATCCTCCTCAACCTGATCCTCGACCTCCTCATCCTCTTCAATCTCATCCTCCTCATCCTCCTCCTCCCTCTGCTCCTCCTCCACCTCCGACTACTCCTCTTCCGTTCTTTTTTCCATGCGCTTTGCCATGCCTCTCAATCTTTTCTTCTGGCACTTGCCACTGCACTGTAACGCCTGGCAGCTACGAGCAGTGAAGGCGGAAACGCGGCGATAGCCGCCGGTACGAATCAAGGGGTCGGCGGATGTGGCGTGAGCCTGGAGAATCACTCAGGTGGTTTTCATTTTACGGACCGGAAGATGTGTCTCTTGGTGATCCAATGCTCACCGCGATATAGCAGGCGTAGCACTGGGGCATCCAAAGGGGGGAGCACCAGGAATGGGGGCACTCCAAGATTCGCGCCCAGATTGTGGGGATGTCCCGAGCAGTGTGCCTGTTTGCGTGCCCAACATCCCTTGCTTTCGCAGCAGTTTGCGTGGGTTCTCAGGCGAGGAGCTGGTTTCACCGCTCCCATGCGAGGGCGACAGGGTGGGTATCTGACGGACCCTTTCGCGCCAAGATTGTGGGGATCATCAGACGCTTTGCCTGCTTGCATGCCCGATATCCCCTGACTTCGCAGCAGCTTGTGAGGATGTCTCAAGCGAGGCGTTGGTTTCAGCACTACCAAGGAGGGGGGGGGGCCCGTTCGCGCCCACATGTTGGGGATGTCCCAGGCGGTGTGCCTGTTTTGAGCAGGGATCGACCGTCCCGGCATTCCTATAGTCCTACCACGACATGTTCTTAGAACCCGAAAATGTTCCGAGAACAAAAACAGTGCTCTCAGAACAGACACCCGATGTGCTGAACAAAAACAGTCCCAGCCAAACATATTCTAATATTCTAAGAATATTGTTTTGGTAGGGCTATGGGCGAGCCAGGACGCTTCGCCACTGCTTGACTGTTTGCATGCCCGACGCTCCCGGCTCGTTGACGCAGCAGCCGCCGCCGCGCCGGGCGGCGGGGCCAGCCGCGCCCCGCGCTCGGGGAGCGCTCTGCCCCCCGAGCCGCCCGCTCCGTCCATGTCTTCCTTCGGCCGCGTCCCTCCTCCCCTCTCCTCCCTTCACGGGGGAAACACTAAAGGGAAATTAGGACACACAAATAAATACACACAAATAAAAATAGTTCCCATATTTTCCCATATTTTCTGGGTTTTTGTCTTCCCCTCCAATTCCCATATTTTCTCATATTTTCCTGGGAATCGAGGATTAATTGTGTCTGTGTGTTTTTTTCCCTCCTGAAACACGTCGGCCCAGCCGCACCCCAGCTCGTGCCCCATGCATCGCCGAGGCGGTCACCCTCTGCCCGGCCGCCGGCGCCAAAGGTTTGCACGCCCAGCATCCTCTCCTTTCGCAGCAGTGCGCAAGGATGTCTTTAAGGGGAAATTAGGACACACAAATAAATACACACAAATAAAAATAGTCCCCATATTTTCCCATATTTTCTGTGTTTTTGTCTTCCCCCCCAATTCCCATATTTTCCCATATTTCCTTGGGAATCGAGGATTAATTGTGTCTGTGTGTTTTTTTCCCTCCTGAGTCTTAGGCGAGGCGCTGGATTCGGCACCCTCAAAGGGGGGGGGAGGGCGCCAGGGCATGTCTCACGAGCCCGTGCGCGCCCGTTGCTGTGGGGATGTCTCGGGCGGTGTGCCCGTTGGCGTGCTCAGCATCCGCTGCTCTGGCGGCGACGCTGTGCGCGGGACACAGGTGCCCTTGCTTTGACAAGCTGGACCTGCAGATCAGCCTCGACTGCAGCAGAAGACTTGGTCCCACTCCACCGCGGGTGCCAAAAACAGAATGCGCTTCCCGGGCCGTCCCTGATCGCATTCCCAGTCCAGCATTGCTGAAGAGGAGAAGGAGGCGGAGGCTCCCGTCCTCCCTCCTCGTTGCATCCCCTCCTCCCTTCCCTCCCACGCCCCCCGTCCTCCCTCCTCGTTGCATCTCCCCCTCCCCTCTCCCCGCCCCCCTCCCCCCTTCCCCCTTCCCACTGGCCCCTCGACCTAGTCTGGCAGGGTCGACTGGCGAGTCCACCTCGACTGCAGCCACCATCCCCCTCTTGGCCGCCCCCGAACGCACTGAGCAGCATCGAGACGGCAGGAAGACAGAGGGGGGCCTCTCCAGGAACAAGGAAAGGCGACACCAAGATTACCAGGGCGAGGAGATGCGAGAAAGCAAAGGGGGGTCTCTCCCTGGTGGTGTGGTCCTCCCCTCTCGTTCGAGACATCCCCAGCCTCCAGCTCGCGGGGGCATCGTATAGACCTTCTCGCTGGAGGTGGGCCCCCTGGTGGTGTTGGCGTCGCTTCTCTTCCCTCCAACTCTCGGCGAGAGAGAGGCTCTAGACGGAGGGAAGGCGGCGGGCGGGCCGTGACGGGGAAGGTCGAGAGATAGATCGGGCATGCCCTCCTCCAGGCGGATTTTGGAGGAAAGAAGGAAAAAGAGTCCACAAGTTATCAGACACGGTAAACATGAGCTGAGCAATTGTGCCCCGACTACTCTATTATTGTTACCGTCATCCTTATCGTCATCCTCATGCTCATTCTTCTCATTCTTAGTAATACTAGACATATGCATATATCTGAATACTCCTCCTGTCGAGGGGCACGCCCGACTGGAGGCGAGAGGGGCGAGCCCTCCTCCCTCGCGGCCCGCGGGTGGGCCGAGGCGCGCTGCCTGCCCCGGCGGCGCGGAGTTGGTGTGGCCCCACTCCAGGCGGCAGTGGCCGCCGAAGCGGCCCTCGTCCGAGTCCAGCAGCACCCGCAGCCCCTCGTTCCACGGATGGCCTCGGGCGGCCTCCGGCCCAGGCCAGGGCCCCCTCGCAGCGTGACAAAACATTCGCGGCGGAAGGCTCCTCGCCATGTGCGGCCCCCGGGGGCCCTTCCTGGACCCGAGGACCGTCACAGACTGGCTCGGGATGCAGAACCGGGGAAAGGGTCGACGTGGCGAAACAATCACGACGTGGGGGGTCCGGGGAGGCGGCAGGGGTCAGGCGCGACCTCTGGGATCACGAGCTGCGGGCGAGCCCCGAGCCCCTCGTCCTATTTGTTCCTGGAGCTCTGCGGTGTCTGTACTTGAGTATGATAGGGCAGCTGCTCCATGAAGACGTCTCAATCCACATTCCAAAAGATGGGGAGAGGCCACCCGGACGCCTATCTCTTCGCACACAGCGGCCTCGGGCGGAGGCGGCAGGGAGGATGCGGTCGAGCTTGATTGTGACTACCTACAACAACCCTCCTAACCCAACCCGAAGACCCGAATATCGGGTTGGGGGCGATACGGGCTGCATATGTGTCGCTCCAATGTTCCCCGACCCCTCCCACAGTGGAAATGGAGGGCAAATCGGGGCCTTTGGGTCGGGTTGGGATGTTTCGGTGGGCGGTGAGATTGTGGGTCGCGCGCGAGAGGGCATGAGACCCTTGCGAGGGCCACGTGGCCCCCCGGGGAAGGCGAAGGGCGCACGGGCGTCTCTGCCCCAGGAAAGCAACGAGGGCACGCGGCGCCGTGCCAAGGGCACACACGGGCAGCCCGGGCTCAGCAGGGTCCATCTGCCAGTCGAACTCGACAGCGGGCACTCCCTCGTTCCGCGGGTGCCCCCTGGGCGAACTCGGAGGCCCGGCAGGGGTCAGGAGCCCCTTCTGGGATCACGAGCGGCGAACGGGTCCATGGCCACGCCCTCGCGGTCTGGCGTCTGGGGCGCGATCCCGCTGATACGCAGTCGCATGGACGCGTTCCACTCGGGGCACCTGCGACGAAACGCCCCGTATCCGCGGGGCGGCCCCGGGGCCTGGCGCCCGAGGCCGTGGGTACCGTTTTGTTCCCAACCATCCTGTGGTGTTGGGTCCTCGTTTTGAAGAGACGGTGCCCCGCGTTCCTCTCCTCCTCCTCCTCCTCCTCCTCCTCCTCCTCCTCCTCCTCCTCCTCCTCCTCCCCCTCCTCCCTCAGGGTTCGCATGCCTCCCCACCACCCATTTCGGCACACCCCTCACACGTTTTGTGGCCCCATAGGGAGCTCCACCGAAGGCCCCAGTGGCAGGGTTCGCATGCCCCCCCACCACCCATTTCGGCACACCCCTCACACGTTTCGTGGCCCCATAGGGAGCTCCACCGAAGGCCCCAGTGGCAGGGTTCGCATGCCTCCCCACCACCCATTTCGGCACACCCCTCACACGTTTCGTGGCCCCATAGGGAGCTCCACCGAAGGCCCCAGTGGCAGGGTTCGCATGCCTCCCCACCACCCATTTCGGCACACCCCTCACACGCTTCGTGGCACCATAGGGAGCTCCACCGAAGGCCCCAGTGGCTGCGTTCGCATGCCGCCCCCACACCCATTTCGGCACACCCCTCACACGTTTCGTGGCCCCACATGGAGCTCCACCGAAGGCCCCAGTGGCTGCGTTCGCATGCCGCCCCCACACCAACTTCACCGAAGGCCCCAGTGGCAACGTTCGCATGCCGCCCCCACACCCATTTCGGCACACCCCTCACACGTTTCGTGGCCCCATAGGGAAATCCACCGAAGACGGTACTCACACCAGCATTACTCACAACTGCATATGGTTGGGTCCTTCGCCAGGCTAATTTTTTTCGCCCACGAGGAAAGGGCCAACTCCTGGGAGGTCTTTGCGAGAACGGTTGAGGCTTGCTTGACTGGACGGAAGGGCCACTGAGCCGCAACGGCTCAGCTTAGGCCAACTGCTAATCCACATTCAGCGGGATTGGGCGGAATTCGGCGGGATTATGCTGGATTGGGCTGGTTTTGGGCCAGGGATATCCCGGCGCCGATGATTTATCGAACCTCCCAGGGGCTGCATCCGAACCTGGAAGCGGTACGGGGGATAAACAATCACATGTGGAGCCTGCCCATGCAGGTCAGACTTCTGAACGACCAGCCAAGATTCAGAACCTGAAAGGTGTCAAAAGCCGAGGACATTCCAGCGAGGGCGTCCGTTGCCCCAAACTTGGCGCCGCGCACAAGGGGCTAGGGCGGGCTTCTTCGAAGGAGGCTGCTTCTGAGATGGCGAGTGCCCTGAATCTACAGACGAGGCCCGCGCCTTCTGAGAAGAAGCCTCCTTCTAAGAAGCCGTTCCTCTCCCCCGTACCCCGCTGCACGCATGGCCAGCCAGAGTCGATTGGCCCTGTACGGGTGGGCTTCGCCAGAGGGCCACACGGGGGAGGAACGGCCAAACGGTCAAGCATCGAATCTTCAACACGAGCCTTCGCTCAGCAGACTGCTCGCACATTGGGCTGGGGGAAGCAGGAGGAAGAGGACCAGTGGAGACCCAAGCACCCTCAACGATGATGCAATCAACCCTCCCCCCAAATTCCATGCTTGGAGGCTCCTGAAGGGATCTATTTGCACTGCGGGAAAGACCTCGTTGAAAAACGACTGTCTGACAATCTTCAACAGTGCTAAAGCACCATTCACGGAACTTCGACGCCACGGATCATCAACGTTACTGCTGCGACATGGCGATCCTCAATCGTGCCAGGACACCATTTCTGAGAAGTCAGCACAGCCAATCAACGGGACGGTCGCGCCCCGACAATCCCAAATCGCCCCGGAACGCTGCAGCTTGGACGTCATCCATACGAATCCTCGAACCTGCTGCACACTGGTGAGACGAACGTGCGTGGCACGAGGGCGAGAACCCACATACCGAAGACGAGCAGACCTCCATCCGTGAAACGCTTGCAAACTGTAGGGGAACCAAAAGTGACATACACCCTGCGAAATGCTTAAGAAATCATGGGTTAAGAAATTCATAGTCTCAGAAATTGAATAAAACCCAGAACTTCTATCAAAATCTTGGGATCTACATTGAAAAGTTAAGAATAATCGAGACCCTGGCCGAAAACTTTGGTTTTCTTAAGCATCGCCTAAGGTGTAAACATAAAAACTCGGAACTCCGCGCGGATTTCGCGGATCGGCGCTGGGGCCCCCCGGCGGCGCCTCCGGACCCCCTCCCTGGCGCGCTCCGCGCGCCAGGGAGGGGGCCCCAGCGCCGATCCGCGAAACCCGCGCGGAGCTCTGATTTTTTTATGTTTATGTCACGTTTTGTTCCCCTAATAATACCGAAGACAGACCTCCGTCCGTGAAACGCTCTGCAAACTGCCGAGACGAATGTGCGCGGCGCCAACGCCTGTTTTTTGTTTGATTGTCCGCGATATAGCGGGCGTGAGCGGGGGGGGGGGGGGCATCGCGGCGGGCTGCGGCCTCCAAGGGCCTCCTTTTCGAACCCCCGGGGCCTCCTCGGGAGGAGGGAAGATAAAGGGAACAGGGAGAGGGAGCCGAGGAGGAGGAGGAGGAAGACGAGGAAGAGGAGGAAGAGGAGCAGGGAGAGGGAGCAGAGGAGGAAGAGGGGAACGAGGAGGAATTCCTGGGAACATCTTGAGATTATGCTGCTGCTGCTGCTCCTTCTCCTCCTCCTCGTCCTCCTCCTCCGTCAAATCGTAAAGTTGGGGGTCGTATCTTAAGACGTGTCTTGCTAAAAATGAGCGTTTCGCCTGAGACATCCTCGGATAATGGGGATGGTGAAATCGTCGGTCTAGTTCGCGGACCTCAAACAATGAGCATTTCGCCTGAGACATCCTCGACAAAAATGGGATGCGCCAAGTGCTCTTGTAAGGCATCTGTTCGGAGCGATCTCGGATGACCTCCCAGATGACCTCCCGGATGATCTCGGCGACCTCCCTAAACGAGCCGCACTCCATCAATGAAACTGGTAAGAATTTTGAGAAGCTTCAGGATCGTAAACGGAAAAAAGTCTCGAGCAAAACGCCCAGCCAACCCTACCGACCCGTCTCGGGGTGCGACAGGGAGGAGTTATTTAGAAGGAGGGGGGGAATGAGGACGAGGGGAGGAGCGGAAGGATGAGGAGGATTGGAGGAAGGAGGATGAGAAGGAGAAAGGGGATGAGGAGGAGGTCTTCGGCCTCCCACAGGGGCCCGTTTCGGGCCCTAGGATAAAGCCCACCTCCTCGTTCCTGGCTCTCGCCCAGCACAGCATGGTGGGGCCCCCCTTGCCCTCAGCGGGGAGCCTGGCATCTCTCAGGAAGAGGCCGCCTCGACCGGTCGCGGCCTCGGTGCTCCCAGAGGTGGCAGAGGTGTACAAAGACCTTCGGGGGGATGCCGGGAGAGCCGAGCAGCCTCGAGGCGCCGTGGCAGGGGCCGCACGCGTGAGTTCTCGACAGAAGTGCAGCCGGGATGTGCCTCGGCTTGGCCTTCCCCTCCTCGTACGCGCCGCTATCACGGGCATGCTCACAGTCACCATTACCAGCGCAACCGCCAACACCAGGACCATCATCCCCGTCATCAACCTCGTCGACATCGTCGTCGTCATCGTCGTCATCGCCATCGCCATCGCCACCGCCATCGCCATCGCCATCGCCATCGCCAGCATCATCATCATCATCATCATCATCATCAGCATCAGCATTACTATCATCAGCATTGTCATCAACATTGTCATCATCATCATCAGCAGCAGCAGCATCATCGTCCTCATTACAATCACGATCATCATCAGCATCGGCATCAGCATCATCATCATCATCAACATCATCATCATCATCACCACCGTCATCAGCATCATCATCGGCAGCAGCATCAACATCAGCCTCACCACCACCACCACCATCGGCATCAACATCAGCATCAACATCAGCATCCACATGAGCATCATCCGCAGCAGCATCATCGGGCGCCTGGGGAAGGCACTGGTGCAGTGCCTGCGGGCGGCCCAGGAAAGGGACCTTGGAGGTGCCTGCGGGCAGCTCTGGGAAGGCACTTGTGAGGTGCCTGCGTGCGGCCCAGGCGCTCAGGAAAGGTACTCACCATCTTCCTCCTCCTCGCGTCTCGGCCCCAGCTTGGCTCCGCTGCCACGCCGGCCCTGGCCCCGACCCGGGGCACCGACGGAGCCCCCCCGCCCCGACGGCGGCGCGACCTGGGCGCGCCGCCGCTCGCCGCGGCCACGACGCTGCCTGGCCAGAGGCCTCCTACAGTCGGGGCCCTGAAGCAGGAACCCTTTTGGTTGGGGAGGGGCTCCGCGTTCCTTATGTTTTCGATAGGAAATCGACATTCAACTTCTGGCAAAAAGGGGCCTCGCTCCTTACTTGGGGTTCCTTAGGTTAACGCCCCGACTGTATTGGCGGCGCGCAAAAGGGGGTAGGGGGAGGGGGGAAGGCTTCTTAGAAGCACCCTGACTCTTAGAAGGCCTCGGCCTTACGTCTATAGAGAAGGCCCGCGCCTTCTAAGAAGCAGGGGTGTTTCTAAGAAGCCTGCCCCCCTCCCCCTACCCCCCTGCGCGCTGCCGATCCGAGATGGGGTCACAATACGGCGGGTTCGCGTCGTGTCGACCCCGGCGATGGTTCCTAACACCGCGGGGATCGTTCAAATCTGAACGATTGGCGGTTCTGTGAACGCCGGATCGTGCAACGACGGGCCGATTCTGGGCCACGGGCGGCGTTCAACCTCACACGCACGCGGTGGGGTCGCCGCCTGTCGGCACGACGCGAACTTGCCGTCGATGGGGTCGGAGGATTTCGCCGCATCGCCGATGCATCGGCGATGCACCGGCGATGCACCGGCGATGCATCGTCGACGTGAGCGATGCATCGGCGACGTCGACGTGGAGCAAATCGGGCTCCGCATCGAGCCGCATCGCCGATGCATCGGCGATGCGGCGCGATCCTCCGACCCCATCTAGTCACTCGGACCCCATCTTGAAGGCCCAGGGCTTCTCTTCGCTGGAGGAGGACCCCCGATGCTCCCCGATGGTCCTCGCCGAGGAGAGCGAGCTCACATCCGAGCGATGCCGAGGAGACGCGGTGTGCCCCATGACGCCTGCCGCGGGGCCCGCGTGCTCCGTGGAGGGGCCGGTGGCAGGTGGGCGCCTGGCCGATCTCCACGGCGGCGCGCGCCGCCAGTGCAGGATGGGTGCGAGAAAGAGGCCCTTGGCGGCGCGGTCGTGCAGGGTGCCTTGATGTGCTGCGAGGCCGGAGGCCGATCCCGCGCCTCGCGGAGGACGGGCGCCCGAGGATGGTGCCCCCTGCCCTCGATGCGCGACGCTCGGGTCGGGCGAAAGGGGGGGATAGCAAAGGGGGGAAGTTGAGAATCGGCTCACGCAGCTGACTTTCCCGGCGCCTCCCGGCGCCGGAGGCGGCCATGTATCGAGGAGTGGGGCGCCTCGGCGAGGCGGAAACCAGCTGCATGCCGCAAGTTTCGTGACCCCCCCTTTCCCAATCCCCCCCCTTCGTCCGGCCCGAGATGCCCAGATCACGCAGCTGGCTTCCCTGCGCCTCGTGCGCGGAGCCCACGAGCAAGGGGGGGCAGAGGCGCGCCCGTCGCGCCCCGTGGGCGCGCCGCGCCTGGCAGCCCCAGCGTGGCACCGGCGCCACGCCCCGGGCAGCTGCTGCCGCGCCATGCGGGCCCTGCCGGCAGGTCGCCATGGCCGCCATCTCCTCCTCCTCCTCCTCCTCCTCCTCCTCCTCCTCCTCCTCGAGACGCCATCGGCGGTCGGCCCGGCCCTGGAGGGCGCCGAGGCGGGCGGGGAGGCGGATCGCAGGTGCGCCTCGTCTCAGTCCGTCGCTGGCGGCGTCGTCGCGGCGGGAGCTCCCCTGCTCGGGGCCGGGCTCGCTCGTGCAGTGGCCACTTCCACCATCCCCGCCCCGCCCCCCGCTGTGCGGGAGAGGTCGCACTTGATTCTGAGGGCGCGGCCGATGCGGTAGTCCGTGTACGAGTTGCACGGGTGGAAGTTGAACACGAAAAGCAGGTCGCCTCGCGGCGGGAGGAAGACGAGGAGCACGAGACGAGGATGAGGGTGCAGGTGAAAGTAGGGGAACCAGGTATGATTGGCGAGAGACGGCTGAGCACCATCAAGGAGGCTGGCTGGATGGAGTGGATGCCATCGCTGAAGGGCAAAGCGAACGCGACGATCGCAGCTGCAAGCGCGAACGACGATAATCCGCCGTCCCCCTCTTGCTGGGGGTGAGAGGGTGAATGAGATGATTGGCTGTCCCTTCCACCTTTCCCCCTCCCCCAGGGTCCCAAAATCCCGTGTTGAGGGGGGTGTATCTGGGCTCGTCTGCGCACCCACGAAAACTCCAGAGCTTTCAAATCTACCTTCCGTGGCCTCAAAGACGTTCGAAGACGGTCCCGAATCGCTGAACGATTGGCCCAAGACGCTTACGACGGCTCCACGACGCCCCAAGATGCCTTCGAGACGCCCCGAGAGCCTTCCCAAATGGGCCCCGAAAGGCAAAACTCAGAAGCCGTCCGATGGTCTTTGAAAGATGTAGGCGTTCTCGCCATGTCTGATTTCCGACGCACTAGGACGGCCCAAGAGGCCCCCAAGACAGCCCAAGAGGCCTCCAAGAGGGCCCCAAGACGGCCTGAGAGCTCCCCAAGACAGCCCAAGAGGCGCCCAAGACGGACCATGCGGGCTCCAAGACGGCCTCAAAAGGAGCCCAAGAGAGGGAACATGAACCGAATAATTTCAGCCTTCCGGCCCAAGAGGACCTCAAGACGCCTTTGAGACGTTCTAAGGGCCTTCCCAAGAGGCGCCGAGTGGCAAAAACCAATGGTTCTTCGTTGTTTTGTCATTGTTTCTGGGGTTAGTGTCGTCTCGAGCTTCCGACGCTCCAAGACGGTCCAAGAGGCCCCGACGATGGAAAGTGCAGAGGGCAGTCCAAAGAGGGGCCCAAGACGGCCATAGACCGCCCCAAGAGAGGCAAAGAGGGAGAACACGAACCGAACATCCGACCTTTCCCCCCCAAGGGGCCCCCCAAAGGCCCCAAGAAGCCACCAAGCGACCCAGAAGAGGCCTCAAAGCAGCCCCAACAGGCCTCCAAGAGCAGAACAGGCGCCAACACAGGCTCACACACAATTCGCAAAACGCCAACAAAAATCCTCAAATAATGCCGAAGAAACAAATGACGCCTCAACAGTGATCCCCGTCTCTTCTAGGGGTCGGCGGAATTGCGTAAGCCTCTTACATGAATTTGAAACCATCATCCGTCGCCACTGCCGAAACGAACACGCACGCCCCTCGATGGCTGACAAGAACTTCCACGGGGACATGCACTGAATCGCGGATACATGCGTGAGCGATTGCCTTCCGTCACGTTACAAGGCCTTCAGCTGAGGCTCGCAGGCATGATCGCACGTCGCGTTTGTATGCGGCAATGCCCAGCAGTCAGACCACCCCTTTGGGCGCGGGTGGCTCCGCATGCACACTGTGCCAACCCGCTCCTTCCCCACCGTGGGAGAGGCTCCCCCCTGCCCCCTCCCCCTGGGTCTGGCGCCCTCCCCGCGCGGGCCGATGGAGGGTCGTGCCAGATGGCCCAGTGTGGCTTCGGCACAGCCATCGGGAGCGGCCAAGAGGGGGGTGTCCAAGAGGGGGGGGTGCAAATCATGACCGGCGGCATGTGCGCGGCCCAGCGGGGGGGCCAGGGACGTAATAAAACAAGAAGAGGCGCCATGATATCTGGGGAAAAATCATGGCCCGCGCCATGATACCCCCCCCCCCTAGTCATCACCCCCCTCTTTTCCGCCCCCGACAGATGGCCCGGTGTGGCTTCGGCACAACCACGGATGGCCCGCACAGCCGGGCACGGCTCCAGAACTGCAGACGCCGGCCAGGCACGGCCCGGGACAGCCTCCAGCCCACGGAGGGGAGGAGGAGGAGGAGGAGGAGGAGGAGGAGGAGGAGGAGGAGGAGGAGGAGGAGGAGAAGGAGGAGGAGGAGCAGGAGGAGGAGGAGGAGGAGGAATGGCTTCCTGTGGGCGCCACGAGCGCTGCAGGGGTGGCGCCAGGTGGCCACGGGGACCCCCGAGGCCCGACCCCCGCCGCCGGCCCAGCCGCCCTTCCAAAACCAGGGGGGGGCACAACTCACGGTGCGTCCTCCCCTTTTCGCCGACGATTGGCACTCGAGGCCCCAAGATGGCTCCGAGATCGTCCAAGAAAGCCCCAGGAGCGCCCACGAGGAAAATAACTGTGCGTCCTCCCCTTTTCGCTGACGACTGGCACTCGAGGCCTCGAGATGGCTCCAAGATCGTCCAAGAAAGCCCCAGGAGCGCCCACGAGGAAAATCACTGTGCGTCCTCCCCTTTTCGCTGACGACTGGCACTCGAGGCCTCAAGATGGCTCCAAGATCGTCCAAGAAAGCCCCAGGAGCGCCCACGAGGAAAATCACTGTGCGTCCTCCCCTTTTCGCTGACGACTGGCACTCGAGGCCTCAAGATGGCTCCAAGATCGTCCAAGAAAGCCCCAGGAGCGCCCACGAGCGCCCACGAGGATCCCAATGGGCAACGTTGCGGACCCCGGCGCCTTCTGTCGTCGATGGCGTCCAAGATGGCCCCACGTGGGGCCTCCAACGCCCCCAGGAAAACCCAAAGAGGACAACGCAAACCTCAAACATGGGCCTCAGAAGGCCCCGACCTGTCCCACGTAAACTGCCAAGAAACTCCTGTACAAAAAAATCCGCAACAGTTCAGTCCTGGGCCCGGCCAAGCTGATCCCGATTTTCGGGTTGACGACGACCCCCCTCACAGTCCCGCTGCATGCTGGCAAAATTCCCTGATCAACACAGCTCGCCTGTACATCGTTTCTGCATTGGCTGGTGGGGACACACGGAGCGTCAACACTTTTGTAAAGCCCTCCCGTGGCCCCCTTCATTCGAAACCAGCCGTTCCGTACTGTGACCCGAAAGCGCACGCAAATAGCATACGCAAACAAGTAGTGACCATTGAAGCGATGAGTACAAAGAGATACCAATGGCCTCGTTCGAAGACAATGACCTTGTCGCCTTGGTCCTTCGCGGTTCAACGAGTAAGTCACGTAACGAGCCAACAAATATGTCAAAACTTACCGATGGCAAAACCACACGGATTTACGAGCATGACAGTCGACACTGAACAACACGCACACGTGTAAGTACAACTTGGTATGAGCCCGCGTCCTTCTTCGAGCAGAATTGCTGGTCCGACGCCAAGAACCTGGGCGTGAGAGCGGGGATCCACTCTGCTAGATGGAACCATGTTTAACGATTCGGTGTGATCAGAACCGCATCCGAAAGAGGGGAAACCGAATGTACGAATGCGACACTGCCAGCCCAATGCGATGATACATATACATGTGTGTAGGTGTATACGTCTGCGTGTACATTTATACATGTATGCACATATGTATGTGTGTGAAGATGGAGGCGTGCACACGCATGCATTATCAAACGCAGGCGTGTATGCGTGCGTGCGTGCGTGCGTATATACTTTTATCTGTATATATATATATATAGATGTGTATAGGTATATGCAGATGTGTTGGTGCATGCGTACGTAGATGGAACCAGCATCAGAACCCCCAACAAGCCCCAGAAGAAGCCACTGGAGGCCTGCAGCAGAGCCCCCGAAGAAGCTCCAGAGAGACACGCAGGGCTACAGTCATGGAACTTCCAGGAGGCAGCGCTGCATAAGGAACGACTGGGGCGTTCCCTGCCACGGCGAGCCTCGGCCGCGATCCGGTTTTCCCGGCCTGGACCTAAGCAACGGCCTGGAGATAAGCGCCACTCCTGGACCCACAGAGGTCCCTGGTTGAGCGCCTCGGCTGGACGGTCAGGTCTGGCATGTCCTCCTACAGGCGAAGTCTGGAAGAAAACAATAACGAATCACAAACAAGCACAAACAGCAACAACAACAACAAAACGCGAAACATCGTCACCTGACTATTCCTTTACTATTCTTGCATGCTCATGCTGTGGAGGGACACGCCCGCCTTGACTGTGCGACCGCCACTTGCCACGGCAGCGTGGCGTTGCCTCCAGGGCAGTCCCCTGGCAGGAAGGCCCCGCCGAGCCTGCTCGGGTATAGCTCGGCAGGGGCCGTGCGCATGCGCCTCGATGCTGCGCTCGCTGGAGCCGTGGCGGGGGGTGCCGCAGGCGGCACGTTAGATATACACATATAGATAGAAAGAGAGAGAGAGAGAGACAGAGAGAAACAAGAGAGAGAGAGAGAGACAGAGAGAGAGAGAGAGAAAGATGGACGCTTCGTCGGTTTCGCTGCCGCATCTGGCGTGCTCACCCGACGCCTCCGCACAGTTCAAGGAGGGAGGGAGGAGTACACACGCTCCCCCGCCATGCCCAAACGAAGTGGGCGCGTAATAATGCCAAGTGCTGCATAGTATGGTGGGCGCAAGCTGTTTTCATGGGCCCATCCTGGCGAATTGCGCGGAACCCTCTGGATATATCAAACACTACGCCCGCAAGGTATCAACACGACACCATTGGTGACGCTCAAGGCCCACTGGCACGCATATCTAATTCTACACGAGACTCTTTCACTCAACAGCACCGAGAACGGTATACAAATCAACTGTTGGAGGTCCGCGCGAAGTTCTTGGATCCGCGCTGGACCCCGCTCCCTGGCGCGCGGAGCGCGCCAGCGGCGGCGCCGGAGGCGCCGCCAGGCAGCCCCAGCCCGGATCCCAGGAACCCGCGCGCAGCTCCGAAGAGTCATGTTCATGCTGTCTTGTCTTCTTCGGTCAGTCCTTCTCTTTCGAGGCCTGGAAAGGGGCACCAACACCAACGCAGGGGGTTGCCTCCACAGGGGGTGGATGATCCTAAATTTCGGTGAAGGTGGTAACACTTCGGTCACCCTGGAAGCCAGAACAGTACCACCCTCACCGAGATCGAGATCTTCACCCTCGGTGGAGGCACACCGCCGATGCTGGCCTTGGTGCCAACCGCTAGGCCTGCGACCTCCCTCTCCCTCTCTCTCTCTCTCTCCACCTCTCTCGTGCATCCCACCGCCCCCGAGAGCTTGAAGCGGTTCTCGAGGGCGCACATCAACACGTCGAACGCCTCGCCCGCCAGCGGGTGAGGGGCGCCGCGGACCCACGCAGGTGGAAGCAGGCCGGGAGAGGGCGTGCTCGCGGGGTCGGAGAGAGCGAGGGAGGGCGAGGGACGGTGATGGGGGAGGGAGGATGGCGAGGACGAGGAGGAGGACAGGGGAGAGAGCAGGGGAGGAGGAGGAGCGAGGACGGTGAGGCCAAGAGAGTTCGAGGCGAAGGTGTGAGGAGGAGGACAGATGACAAGGAGGGCGCTGAAGAGGAGGAGCGACGAAAGAGGACAGCGTGGACGAAGAGGACCCGACAAGGGGGTCGTGGGACCTCGCCTCGAAGAACTTGTACTTCAGGTGGTCCTCGCCAGCGAGGTCGAACCGACGGCGGCAGTGCTGGTAGCTCCACCTGGCCCGAACCCCGTGTCCCAGACCTCCGGCGCCGTGGGCACATGAATCGGGCACTTGCTGAAATTGGGGGGCCCCTGGGGGCACGTCGTGGGCTCCAGGACCACAATCCACAAACACCCGCGAGGGAAAAATGCCCAGCCTCCCGGATGGAGTCGAAGACTCTGGGGCCCCGACGTCGTGGATATATCAGACGTCGGAGGTGTATGGCATGCAGTGCCCGACATACATCAAGCGCCGACGCTGCCGTCAGCCGCGGCGGAAAAGCAAACTCACAGACGGGGGAGACACAAGAAGAAGGCTGTGTGTTATGTTGTTACGTTGCATCTTCGGAGGACCTATCGCGCCGCTGTCCGAATGGAATTCGCGTCGAACCCATGCCAAACAGAAACATAATCCGCGTCGATCTCGCGCCGAGCCCTCGTCGAACCGACGTCAGAACTGCGCTGGGTACGAAGAACTAAGCCGCATTGCGCAGACAGACGCAATCCTCTGAGGATACAGAGGGAACGAATGACGGTATACCATACACTTTTCCGCCGTGGCGGACGCCTGCCCCAAAACGGCTGGAAAATTGATACCTCTACCGTATGTCACCGTCGGGATAAAAACTGTCCAGCCGCCCTAGGACAAGCGTCCCCGACGGTGAAAAGTGCATATTATATCTTTATTCCACCTGGAACGCTCTCAATGTGCTCCAGAATGCTCTGCAACCATGTACGCACCCGTATTCACGATCTTCCTGACCACGACCCGTTCCCGCCCGTTCGCTTCCGTTGGGAAGTCCACCCACTCGGGATGCCCGAACTCGTTGCCCATGAAGCACAGCCAGCCTGACCGGCCCGTGTTCCCTCCTCCTCTCGCTCGTGGGCTGCAGCGCACTGCGCACGAACGAGCAAGCAGGCTGCGCTCCGTCTATTCGGTGCCCACTCCTCTTCGCCACCTCCGCTGCCAACCTCAGGCCCAAGCACACCTCCTTCACCTCCACCTCTACCTCGAAAATTACGTCGGGCATGTCCTCCTACAGGCGGATTTTGGGAGAACAATACCAAATAGTGCAACATTTTCCAAACATTGATCATCGAAAAATCGTCCCCCGACTATTTTTATACTATTTCTGGATATTCCTCCTGTCGAGGGACATGCCAGACTTAACAGTTAAAGCATCGTGCGACCATGATGAGCGGTGTTCTTCTATGTTTTTATGGCCACGGCACTCCTCGGCCACGAAGAAGGGTCCTCGCCCCAGACTACTCTACCTCGGGCGCGGCCCGGAACGCCAGAGCCCCTCCCGAGCACACAGAGGTCCTCGCTTCGGCGACCTGACTGACTCGACTAAAGATCGCCTAACTTCGCGCAAGCAAGTCTGCGCTGGATCGGATCGCGAAATCGGATCGGATCGAGAGCGGATCGAACCGCCAACGAATCGTGCCGAGTCGGACAGGCAACGAATCGCCGCGCCACGCTTCGGGCTGGCCCTGGCCGATGCCAGTGAATAAAGCCAGACCGCATCGAATTGGAATCGCGGCCCTAGCTGGCGACTGGAATCGCATCGAATCGGATCGTAGGCGGCTCTGGCAGGTGCGCGATGAACGACCATCTGGACGCCCGAATGATCCGGGATAACTGCGATCCCAGGTAAACCCAGTTTGGGCATCCGAGGCGCGAATCTGTAACTACCTCTAGCTGCCCCCAGCCCCGATGCTGAGGGGTGGACGCCCGAACCATCCGGGACAAATGCGGTCACGGGTAACTCTGGCTTGGGCAGCCGAGGCGCGAATCTGTGACTACCCCTCACTGCCCCCAAGCCCGATGCTGAACGGTTGGTTGGACGCCCGAACTATCTGGGATAACTGCGGTCAGGGGAAACTCCGGTTTGGACACCCGAGGCGCGCCCTCACCACCCCCAGCCCCGATGGTTCGGAGCTGAATCGGCGGTCTGAGATCTGACGCGAACTCCCGCTGCAAACAACCCACCAACACTGGCACGTCAAAATCCAGATCGGGCTCGCCAAAAAGCGTAGGCGAACCCGAGTTCCGGCGTACTCGAGTCTTACGCTTCCCCGACGGAAGGCGAGCAAAGAGCGTCCTTCTTCGCGGTCTCGCGCGAACCGCCTGGATAAGCAAGCCTCCTCAACAGGGGCTGCGAGGCCGCGATCGCCATCGAGGCGGCCTGGCCTTAGTCATCCTGGAAAACGCTAGAAGAATATATTTGTCCGTGTTCAACTTTTCGTATTGCGGTCGACCGGAACAGAAAAACAAAGACAACCCAAAACAGGACACAAACGACACCCGCCGGGCCCAACAGGAGCGGAAACTGGCAACTAAACACATAACAACAACGGCAACCCCAAACAAACAACAAATAACAGTAACAAAACTAACACTACAGCTAAAAACCATGTGAGAACGGATCGCAGACCGAACCGAAAAAAGCAAGACGGCAATCCCAAATCAGGGAAATACAACTGCACAGAAAACCAAAAAAAAGTAGATCTTGAAAACGGTGAGAGAATGTCTTCCAGCGCTTTCAAAACATCTAAAGGCCTGGCCACGCCCAACCTCGCGGGGCGGGCAAAAAGGTGCTTCGCAAAGGGGGGGGGCAAATCATCGGCTACACGGAAAAGCGGCCCTGGGCAAGAATGTCCTCTGGTGCGCGGCTTTTTGAGGGCCGCGAGGGGACCAAACACGAGCGCGCAAGACGCCACTATCGCATCGCGTTGGGCCCGAAGGTCACTCCTACGCGTAACCGAAATCAACTGCATGCAACTAATTTTCCAAGCGCCTCCCGGCGCTTGTAGCGGCCATGCAACGAGGTGGCCTGGCGGTAGAATCACGACCAGCTGCATGCAGCAAATTTCGTACCTCCACTTTCCAAATCCCCCTCTGCCATCCGACCCGAACCTACGCCATTGCCACCCATTCGTTCCAAGACCTCAAGCGGCTCAATGTTTTCAGACACGGGCATTCGGCTATTTCCCTGCGGCCAATGTTTGGTTTGTTCCATCCTCGGGGGACCTTGTCTGTCCCGTCGCAGCCCTATCCGCGTCGAATCCGTGTCGAATCCACGTGGGACTCCGTCGGGTCCGTGTCGAATCCGTGTCGAATCCGCGTCGGATCCACGCCAAATCCGCTTCGGGCACGAGAGAAGACACCAATTATGGGGACAGGCGAGGTCCCCCGAAAACGCATCGTCTATTGTCTGTCCCGTGTATGTTTGTTGACAGTTCCGGAGTCAAAAACAGACGATCCAATGTTATGTTGCTGTGTTGCTACCATCCTAGTTAAGGACCGCTTCCGAGAAATAATTTCAAGCACCCAGAAAATACAGAAACAGTGTCGAACGAGTACCGACTCTCAGGGCCCGCCACGTGAACCCCCTCCAGTTTCGGTACTTTTCTGGTGCTCGAAATTCTTTCTCGTGATCAAGGCTAAACTAGGCCGGAAAATCATACATCCAAAGGGGGGAGCACTTGCTGTCCCTATTGTTTGCACGGGCCGCTGGATGTCTGGGTGCGCGCCTGCTCGTCTGCCTCCGCGCCCCACTGGTGGCCATAGGCGGCACGCTGAGAGGACTGCAAGTGGAGAGGGAGGAGAAGGAGGGGAGGAGAGAGGAGAAGGAGGAGGAAAAGGAGGAGGAGGAGAGGAGAAGGAGAGGAGAAGGAGAATGAGAGGAACGGGAGGAGAAGGAGAGGAGAAGGAGAGGAGAAGAGGGAGGACAGAGGAGAGAGGAGAGGAAGAGAGAGGAGAGTGGACATGTTGTAGAAGAGGAGGGAGAGGAGGAACGGGAAATGTTGCAGTCAAAACTGCTAGCACCTTGGGCGCTCATGCCGAGGCTTTCCAAGTGGGGCTGGCAATCGAGAGTGATTGGGGATAGACCGACGAGGCAGGGATGCAAGGGTACCTTTGGGAAGGTTGCCCATCCTGACTATCAATTTCGACTGTACGCAGAGAGAGAAGGGGAGGGCGGGACGACGGCGGCGGCGAAACGGTGTCGGAGCGAAGGCCGAACGAATCGAACTGCAACCACCCACAGTCCAAGAAGCCGGGAGATGTCGGATGGACACCGGCCCCACGGCGGGGAGGGAAGGAGGAGACAGAGGAGGAGAGGGCGAGGGCGGAAGCGAGGGGGGGGGGACGAAGGGGAGAGCAGCAGGCAAATGGGCCGAGGATGGGGGCGACGGAAGCAGAACGAGGGTCGGTCAGATAGGGGAACAAAAAGTGGCATAAACATCAAAACTCGGAGGTCCGCGCGGATTCCTCGGATCGGCGCTGGGGCCCCCAGGCGGCGCCTCCGGCGCCGCCCCTGGCGCGCTCCGCGCGCCAGGGAGGGGGGCCCAGCGCCGATCCGAGAAATCCGCGCGGATCTCCGAGTTGTTGTGCTTATGCCACTTTTTGTTCCCCGAGGTCAGAGGAAGAAGAGGCGAATAGGGGGCCCGGGGGCGTGCCGACGAGTGGGCACGCCCGTGCGCGCCCCGCCTTCGCCGCCGAGGCCCATCGTGACCAGCCGCATCATCTTGTGCAGCGCGAGCCCGCGGTCGACGACCATGCTCGGCGGGCTCATGGTGCTCATGTGCGTGTACATCTCGGCGTCCTCCCGCACCCCTCTTTCTTTTCTCTCCCCGGGCGAAGCAGACATGGGGAGCGCGCGATCCCTGAATCATATTACACGTCGGTCGGAAGAAGTAGGTAGAAACAGGAAGTAGGAAGGCGGATTAGGTTGATTGGGTCCAGGCCCCCCCAGAGAATAACAAAACACAGCAGAAGCGTGTCGATTCTTGAAGTAGGAAGGCGCTTGAAGTAGATTGGGATCTGGGAATCCAAAAATATCTACTTTCAGCGACCGGCGTGTACAGCGTGAATGGCCCAGCAGCGCGAAACAGAGGACCGCCAGGCCAACTGGAACAGGCGTCCTCCCACCCCCCTGGGGCCGGCCAGGCCTCGCGACGACAAAACACGGGGAGGGCGTCGTCCTCTGGCGATGGCGGCCTCCCGGGGGCTTCTCCCGGGGGCAGCCAAGAACGACCCGCGGCGAAACACCAGTCTTACGTTGCTCCCAAGGTACTTCAAAACCACATCCGAGGAACAATTTCGAGCACACAGAGAAATATCGAAACAATGTCGAACGAGTATCGCCTTACAGGGCCCGACGCGTGAAAACCCTCCCGTTTCGGTAATTAGTTCGTGGGTGCTCGAATGTTCTTCTAGTGGTCAAGGCTACAGTAGGTTGGGACATCATACCACTAGTTCCCACGTCGTGAAAAAAATAGGAAGTCTGGGCACGGCTGTTCAAAGGCTGCCCGTGCGCGCATGCAAGCTCGAATCGCTTACAGCACCGAACCGCTTCATCTGCGGCCGAGGTGCCATGGCCTTGTGGAATGCGTCGTCGGATCACTCGTCGCCACGCGCAGACACTGACGCAGATCATTGAGCAAACTGGGGGATGGCCAGGCGTGTCCCCCTCAGAGTATGTTGGCGCCAGGGCGCCTCTCTGCTAGACATGTGCCTTCCACTGGCCTACAAGTAGATATGCACCAGCGACTGGATCATCAACGGGACGCGGAGGAGGTACAGCAAGAGGCACAACACTTGAGACGAAGATGAACACAACATGAACGTCTTGACCAACCTTCCAGAGCCAGACGCCGCAGATTTCGCAATCGCTGAGCTTGCACCTCTGGATCCCAGAACGATCCTGGAAGACAACAACCTGCATGATTGTCTCCCGGGGCCACGGCGGGAGGGCGACAACCTCGGATGCCCTCTCCATCAAAGCGGGTGCCCCCGACACTTGCTCGTCAGCGGCGGGGCAGAGAGATCCGCGCCAGCGAGAAGCTAGAAAAGGGGCACTAGCTAGCGAATTGGCCGGCTGGCGAAGAGGGGGGGGGACTTGAGCAGGGACCGACCGTCCCGGCATTTCTATAGGCCTACCACGAGATGTTCTTAGAACCCAGACATGTTCAAGTAACAAAGCCAATGTTCTTAGAGCATGAACCCGATGTTATACAACAAGACAGGCTCAGCCAGACATGTGGTCGCCCCGTCCTTCCTTCCTTCCTTCTCCTCCCCTCTCCTCCCCTCCTCCTTCTCTCCTGTTTCCGGTGTTCCCCTCTCCTCTTCCCTCGTGCCGTCGGGCTGCGATCTGCGCAACTGTCGCCATTGTCGTGGGCTCCTGGGAGGCCCAGCAGAGGTGGGTCCCACGCGGATCACCTCGGTACCTCGCCGCCCCCTGGGGGGCTTGCGATCTGCGCAGCTGTCGCCACTTTCGTGGGCTCCTGGGAAGCCCAGCGGAGGTGAGTCCCACGCGGATCACCTCGGTACCTCGCCGCCCCCTTGGGGGGGCTTGCGATCTGCGCAATTGTCGCCACTTTCGTGGGCTCCTGGGAGGCCCAGCGGAGGTGGGTCCCACGCGGATCACCTCGGTACCTCGCCGCCCCCTGGGGGGTTGCGATCTGCGCAATTGTCCACTTTCGTGGGCTCCGGAGGCCCAGCGGAGGTGGGTCCCACGCGGATCACCTCGGTACCTCGCCGCCCCCTTTGGGGGCTTGCGATCTGCGCAACTGTCGCCACTGTCGTGGGCTCCTGGGAGGCCCAGCGGAGGTAGGTCCCACGCGGATCACCTCGGTACCTCGCCGCCCCATCTGGGGAGCTTGCGATCTGCGCAATTGTCGCCACTTTCGTGGGCTCCTGGGAGGCCCAGCGGAGGTGGGTCCCACGCGGATCACCTCGGTACCTCGCCGCCCCCTTTGGGGGGCTTGCGATCTGCGCAATTGTCGCCACTTTCGTGGGCTCCTGGGAGGCCCAGCGGAGGTGGGTCCCACGCGGATCACTTCGGTACCTCGCCGCCCGGGGGCTTGCGATCTGCGCAATTGTCGCCACTTTCGTGGGCTCCTCGGAGGCCCAGCGGAGGTAGGTCCCACGCGGATCACCTCGGTACCTCGCCGCACCTTTTGGGGAGCTTGCGATCTGCGCAATTGTCGCCACTGTCGTGGGCTCCTGGGAGGCCCAGCAGAGGTGAGTCCCACGCGGATCACCTCGGTACCTCGCCGCCCCCTGGGGGGCTTGCGATCTGCGCAATTGTCGCCACTTTCGTGGGCTCCTGGGAAGCCCAGCGGAGGTGAGTCCCACGCGGATCACCTCGGTACCTCGCCGCCCCCTTGGGGGGGCTTGCGATCTGCGCAATTGTCGCCACTTTCGTGGGCTCCTGGGAGGCCCAGCGGAGGTGGGTCCCACGCGGATCACCTCGGTACATCGCCGCCCCTTTGGTACCTCGGATCAGTCATGCCCTCCACACATATTCTGCAGCGATCGGCAATTGCCAACCTGCAAGTGTGGGGTCGGTGGGGTTGAACGGCAACTGCCATTTTGACGCACGTGCATCCTACCTGCGGCACTCAGCACGAAGGCAGAGTCAATCAATGTCGAATCGGGCGACCGGATCGGATCGGATTGTGCGTAGGACTGGGCTGCATCGTCGCGGAGTCGAGGTCGAATGTGATCGACTGCGCCAGGACGCGCAACAACGCCATGCAAACACAAGATCGCATGAGATCGTCGAAATGTCGAAATCGAATTGGATCTGGCCGGCTGATCTAGATATCGAATCGGACCACATCGGATCGAAACCGACCCTGCAGGGTGTGCCACCAGGGCGGCCCCCATGAAAGAGAACGCCAACTGAAACCCACGGCGCCCCCCTGCGCGGATCCCAGGCGGTCCGACAGGAGTCCATAGGCACTTCCTAACTACTCTGACTGAGCTTCGGCACGGCCTCCTCGCTCCACTCCTGAAGTCCAGTAACCGAGGGACGTACCCAACCCACCTGCAACAAAAAGCGACAAGCTCGTCCAAAACGTATGGACATTTGAACGGGATCATTGTCATTTCTGCGAGCTTCGTGGGTAGCCGGCGCCTTGCGCGCCCCGATCTAGCTGACACCAAAGAAACTAGTACCACATGCGCGCTTCGCGCGCGCTTCGGTTTTGGCAAGCACCCGCCCTCGCCAACGACACGACTCTACATGTGGACAAACATGGGCACGCATTGCGCATACATGGCGACGACGGACACCCGGAACAAAAAGTAGGCTACACAGGGGGAGTGTGGAAAAACAGGCTGCCCCCTTGGCCGGGCGACCAGGTCACTGGATATATGATGTACGGGATCCGCGCGCGTAAGGCATAACTCCGTGGGAGCGACGAAGTAAAGCCGGCCTGACGCGATATGCCATAGCGACCTTACACGGTGGCTTGCGCGGGCAGCCAGCGTGGCAGATCGCGTGGAGGAGAAGACGCTTACGCGGGGCGTTGCGCAAAAAACTTCCGCGCGAGTGCCGGCGCAATTCCGCGTGAATCTTCCGTTTCCGAGTAAATTCCGCGGGTTTACCTGAGTCGCACAAGTGAGCAAATGCAGATGGCAGCGCCCATGATAATGAGGCTTAACCTGTTGATCTTCCACGTGAGACGACAGTCCACTAGACCCCCCATGGAGGCTCTTGGCAATATTTGCGGTTGCGCCGCTCGAGGGCGCCCCCGGGAAAGGAGGTAACAATTCTATTCCGAAAAGTGAAGATCGCGATCCGCGGAGCCCCCAAGGAGCGCACCGATGCGGCGCGCAGATTGCGTGCATGTGGCCCCAAACCGACGCGGCCCGGGCCTGTTTTTTCGAGTCGGGTGTTGCATACCAGACCACCCCAACCCAACCCGAAGACGCACGTTTCGGCTTGGGGGGGGAGGGTCCCACGCGCGATCTTTTCATTGCTCTCCAACGCCCCCCCGCTGGGAATGGAGGTCAAATTTGAGCCTTCGGGATGGGTTTGGGTAGTTTGGTGGGCGTATGAGTTGAGCAGGGACCGACCGTCCTGGCATTCCTATAGGCCTAGCGCGACATGTTCTTAGAACCAACGAATGCTCTAAGGAACAGAACCGGTGCCCTTAGAACAGAATTCCGACGTGTTAATACACGACTGTCCCGGCCAATCTGTTCTCATAACATTTCGCGCAAAGCACCGAAGGTGCTTAGAACCTTCTTTGGTGGGCCTATAGTAGAGGCCCCTTAGATGGGGTCCGAGCAAATGGGGTCGGAGGATCTCGCCGCATCGCCGATACATCGGCGACGCATCGCCGATGCATTGGCGATGCGTCGGCCATGCACTGGCGACGTCGGCGATTCATCGGCGACGTCCGCGTGAAGAAAATCGGGCTCCGCGTCGAGTCGCATCGGCGATGCATCGGCGATGCGGCGCGATCCTCCGACCCCATCTACTCGGACCCCATTTTGGAGGCCTAGATATAGACAAGCCAGGACGCCTCGCCACTGCTCGATTCGGGTTGGGTTGGGGTGGTTTGGTGGGTGGTGACGTGTCTGAGAAAGGCTGGCACGTGCGGCCAGGCGTGCAACCGCCGGCCCTGCAATCATCGCATCACCCGGTCGAGCGCGGGCGCTTGCGGCCCTCGACCAGGGGGGGGGCGCAAGAACAGGAGGAGGAGGAGGAGGAGGAGGAGGCGGAGGAGGAGGAGGAGGAGGAGGAGGAGGGACGAAGATCATGGGGAGGAGGAGGACCCTGAGATCCCACGCTACAAAACAATAAGCCTG